GTGGGAGCCTCAGAGGCGGCCCTTGCTCCTACAGCAGACCATCAGGAGGCTGTGGAGCCAAACACAGCAGTAATGGAAGGCTTCGCCATGCAAGGAACCCAGGATGGTCTCAGGCTCTTCAGAAGCCTTATTCCTATTCATAAATGTATTTAAACATTTTAATTTAATTGAAAACCAAAAGATGGTATTTTTGCATATGTGATGTGAAATAATTACATGCACACTGTAGAATGTCTCCATTGAGTTACTGTAGCTTACATGTTCACTGACCTTATAGACTCATTTTTTGGGTGATAAATGTTTTATGATCTTCAAGAGCCCAATACCCTGTCACTCATGTCACTGTGTTGTACACGTCTCTGGCTCTATTCCCACCTGAAAGTTTGTACCCTTTGACCATTACGCTCCACCTTGTTCACCACCAGTCCGTTCTCTGGTTGACTTCAGCTGATCTGCACCCCACATTTGGGCCAAACCTGAGCTTGGCTTCTTCATGTAACAACAGGTTACGCCAGGCTGTCACTAACAACAGGACAGGAAGTATCCCAGGGTGCACGCGTGCCACATTTCCTTTATTCACCCAGGTGGTTTACATATCTTGGCTGTGGAGCAAAGATCTGCCATGAGTGTGGGAGTGTTCATCTCTCCACCCACACTTCATTTTCTTTAGATACCTGTAGTACCAGAATGGGATTGCTGGATCATGTTACTTTTTTTTGTTTTTTGTGTGCTGGGATCAAACCCAGAGTTTTGTAACATGGTAAGCATGCTCATGACATGGAGCATCAGCCCTTTTTAAAGATACAGGGCCTTACTGCGCTATCCTGGCTCACCTTGAACTCGTGAGCATGAGGAATCCTCCTACCGCAGCCTCCCGAGTGGCTGGGTACTCACCACCACAGGTGACTGGCAAGTTTAGTTTTTGTGGAACCTCTACACTGTCCTCCATAATAGCTGCACTAATTTACATTGAAGTTCTCCGCGAAGTTCCTTTTCTCTACATACTTGCCAACACTTAGAATTATTCTTCACGGGTGTGAGGTGGCATCTCACTGTGGTTTAAATTTACATTTCCCTTGTGATTGGTGATCTTGAGCCTTTTCGTATCTGCTATTCATCTGTATGTATTCTTTTGAGAAATGTCTGTTTGACCTGATGCCCATTTTCCAGTCAGGCATGTGTTCTGGCTATTCAGTTTCTTATAGATTTTGGATGTTAACCCCGTATAAGATGGTCCACAGAGGCTCTGTGCTGTAGGCTGTCTCCTCACTCTATCAATCACTTCCTTCGCTGTGCAAGCTTTTTACAGTAATATAATCATATCTGTTTGCTCGTTTTTGGTTTGTGCTTTCTGGGTCATTAAATCACTGCTCAGATTACTGCCATGTAGCTTTTCACCTGTTTTTGTCTAGTAGTTTTAGTTTGTGTTTAAATTCTTAGTCCATGTGGAGTTTACCTCCGTTGTACATAATGAGATGAATTTAATTTCATTCTTCTGCCTGTGAATATCACCATTTTTATCAAAGACTTGCGCCCGTTGTGTGTGTTCTTGCTGTTTTTGTCCAAAATCAATTGCTCTGAATATACGGATTTACTTCTGGGCTCTCCATTCTGTTCCACTTGGTCTATGTATGTTTTAAACCCAATTATGAATAGTGTCCCATTTTTGAAACATCCATAGCAGTGGAACATGATAGAAATTTCTCTCTTCAAATTCTTGTTCCTTGAATTTATCTAAGTAACATGAATGATTCTCATGCTAAAATTAAAAAACTGCAACTTTTCATAAAAATGTCAATGCTATACCATTTTGATTACTGTAGCTTTGCAACATGTATGTGTCTGACAGAGATCTGTGGAGTCCAACTGGATTTGACCTTATGAACCTTCTTGCCTCAGCTTCCGAGTAGCTGGATTACATATGTGTACCACTGTGCTTAGTTTCACTATATTTTGAGGTCAGGTACTGTGATGCTGCAAACTTGGTTATTTTTGCTCAGCTGCTTTGGTTGGGGACTTTTGTGGTTTCATACGAATTTAATTTTTTGTATTTCTGAGAACAATGTTATTGGAATTTTGGCAGGGATTTCAATGAATCTGTACATTTCTGGGGATAGCATATTTTAATAATACAAATTCTTCCAGCTCATTAAAGTGGGGTATTTTTCCATTTTACTTGTGTTTCTTCAATTTGTTTTATCAATGTATTATAGTTTTCAGTGTACAGGTCTTTCAACTCCTCAGATAGTTTTGCTGTGTAGCCACTGTAAATAAGGCTTTTTGTTTTTTCACATAATTGTTAGTATATAGAAAGCTAATAATTTCTTGTATTGATTTCTGTGTCCTGTAGCTTTCTCAGTTTGTTGGTTCTAAGTCTCCCAATGGCATCACTAGGTTTTTCTATGTGTAAAGTCATGTTACAGCTGGGGTGTCACTGAAGGGTAGAAAATGCCTGGCACACGTGAGGCTCTGAGTTCAATCCCCAGTACTGGCCCTGTACCCCAGAAAGGATGTCTAAGAACAGAGACAGTTGAATTTGTAACTTGGGTGTCCTACTATTCTCCCTTAGAACTGCTCCTCTGGCCTCCTGGTAGCTGAACAGAAGGGACATCATTGCTTTGCTTCCAATTTTAGGAGGAAAATTGTGTGGGTTTTCACTGCAGAAATATTAGCTGTGGCTTGTGGTAGATTATCTTTATTGTGTTCGAGGACATTCCTCCTTTACCTGATTTATTGCAGTCAATTATGTTAAAAGAAGCTTAAGTCTGACATTTAGTTACAAAACTTTCATAGGATTTTTGTGACTATTTTTCAAATTAATTTCATTTTAGTTTCTTGTTTTGGCACCACAGTACTTTTTCAGGTTGCCAACATTTTTACAGGCTTTGAAAGTTTTCACAAACTGGTTCAGAGCCCAAGAAACTTTAGCTGGGGACCTAGTTTAGTTGGGGACTCAGCCTTAGACACAGCCACAGGCAGCAGCAAGACCTGCATCAGTGTGGATGAACTGTCTTCTCATCCCACCTCCTGATAGTTAACCTGGGCAGGAAGAATGCAGTAAGGGTATTTTTATTCTCAGGAACATGCTCCAGGACAGTGCAGAGGTAAGAGGCAGAGGCTGTGGGCATGCATCAGAAACCCCAAACACTATGGACATGGGGAAGCCCTGGGCTAGCAGCCGTGAGACACATGCACAGGCCACTGAGGCAGGCGGGAAGTCCCCTGTCCTGTGACAATACCAGAAGCAAACACGTGGTCCTGTCCTGGATCACTTTAGCCCACCCGAGCCTGCAGGAGGAATGGGTGGTTTTCACTCTGCTGGTTAACAGAGCAGGGGACTCTAGAGGGTAAAGAGCTGCTACCTTGAGTGCTCCTCCAGCTGCAGCTGTCCACTTCACTCCACGATTCAGTGCTGTCAGTCTCCAGGAGTCATGGTAGAGATGTGCCCATGGCCACTTCCAGGAGTGTCCACAGGAGTCCAGCTGGCCCTGTCTCCAACTGAGCATCTCTGCTGCAGAGTTCAGAATGAGGCCTCACTCTCCCCAGTTCAGTCTCAGCCAGCACCGAGCACCACAGGGCCACCGGTGCCTAGCAGCCCACCCAACTCTGGCCTTAGTAATGAAAACCCTGGGGGCTGGAACCTGTCTGCTGGACTGTGGAGGCTTCTTGGAGCTGCACGGTAGTTTGAGACTCTCCCTCCACAGGCCTCTTTCCTTCCCTCCTCTTTAGGTATGGCCTCTTATCACAGGCTGAAGGCTGTTCCTATCCTGACTCTGCTCTCCTTGCAGTAATTCCTTTACACTCTTTAACTCTAGCCTGGCACACGCTTGCAAAGACCTACAATGCAACTGGACAAAGCTGAGGTGTGTTCTCTTAAAACATAAAACTTAGGGGAAAAACAAAAACCAAAAAACCCTTCTGTAAAATGTGGTCAGGGGAAACCACTGAAAAGAAATGCAGTTTCATCAAGTTGCTGCCAAAGGGCCATAAGATAGACTGGCATATTCCGGGGTTAACCAGTTAGGTCTGACAGGTGGCTGAAGAGGAATCACCCTTGGAACTGGTTATAATCTATTTAAAAATATTTATCATTTATTGAGAAATTACCACGTGACAGTAATGCTGGTAAGAGCTTTCCATACATTGTTTTATTTGATATTTATATAATTCTTTTTTGATACTTATATAATTCTTACACCTATCTCAATTTCTCAGATAAGGAAATGGAACTAATTAGATGTTGCGCTTGAATTTAAATCAAAGACTGCTTGATGCCAAAGCTGAAACCCTTTGGCTCTAACAGAAACAGACACACCGCTATACACACACTCACACACACACCTTCTGATATCTACTTAAATCCAAGTTTCCAAAACAGAAGTCTGTGTACTAGAGAAAGCACAATGGAAACAGAAATGAAGCCACTGAATAGAACTGGCCTAGAAATCTTTAGGGAAGCAAAGACAGGAAGATTTTGTAGGAAAAATTTTAGGTGTCCCGCCTATTCTTATTACATATTCTTGGAGACATTTCCCTTTCTGAGCCTTAGTTTCATGTATCTATTAATGAGTGGCTGACTAGTTGATTTCTAGATTCCATTTCAGCACTAATGTGTATTTTCTTCTTGGACAGAACTTGATTTAGTTGTTTTGTACAAACTAAAGTAAAACATGTGTTTTTATTAAACCCCCAGGAAGTAAAATGATTTGCTGGGCTCCCAACAAGAATGGTATATTTCAAAATTCACCAAGAGAAGCAGCTGGCCAAGGCCCCAGGAGGCCTGGTCCTCTCACTGCTAACTGCTGCTTGCTCGGCCTGCAGGTAGAGGCCTCAAAAGCCACCCCCTCCACCCGGGGGTGAGGAGGAGGAGGGCTGCACTACCCAGAGAAGCCCAGGTTGGCACCGTCCCAGGCCCACCACCCCACCTGTCCTGCAGCAGAGCCTTTCTGGGAGGAATGAGTCTGGAAGAAGGAATGTAAAAAACTCACTAGTTTACTATGTTAAAAAAAAAGATGGCACATTTATTGCTACATAAATGTTATATACATATTGTGTTTTCTGTTACAGTGACAGAAAAAGATTTGAACTTCTTGCTGCTGGTTGAAAAGTTTATCAATAATACCTTGCAATTGACACAGGATACAAATCTGCAATAAATCAACAATGGAAACTGGAGAACAAGATGAGAAGCAATTCATCTCGAACGTTAGCTTTTACAATACTCCGTAGGTACTACACGGTAAGCTAGAATCCTACTGTGGTCTTAAAATGCTATTGTAAATTTCTGATATTAATGAACAGATTATGGTAAATAACCCTACATTTTTACTACCTAATATAATAAAATAAAGTAAGAAACTTTTTACTGAAAACTTTCGATTTCAAAAATCTAGAAAGAGTAATATTTAGAATTCAAGAAATTTTCTTACAAGATTATTGTATAAAAGACTAGCTACAGTGAAAAATAAGCCAAATGTTTTTTCTTTCTATTTAGGAAGGAAAGCTTCTGGGCATACTGCAAAGTCTACTATAGCGAAAAAGACAACAAGCTCTGGAGAAAAGGCCAGGCAGTGCCGTATGTTCACTCACACATCATAAGCAACAACTTCGCTTAGCCGATTAACACTGAAATGAAGACCAAGGCCACAGATAGAGTCAGATGTAACTGGAGAACAGATGCAAATTAAGGTACCAAAAAGTTCACTAAATTCACAAACAGCTGATTTGTTAGGAAATGATCCTGATTGGAGGATCTGAAGTTCTGCCTTAATTGTTCTTGTTCTTTCAAATTAACATCAATCTTTGAGTTACATAGTGATTTTGGTTCTTCCTTCTGTGTGCTGACTGCCCTTGCCAATGTTGGCTCTGAGAGTCTACGCCAAGACAACCTTGTTTAGCATGTGTTTCTCTCCCAGGTTTGGTGTGGTGGAAGACAGATTTCACGGAAGTTCGAAGTCATTATTATGCCTTAAAAAATTACTCTGAAGGTTTAAAGGGGCCTAATGCATAGGGTTAAGAGTAACTGTCAAGCTCTGGTTTATTGCTAATCCAGCTTCTCTTTGGACACAGTTTGATGATTTGCAGTTGGTTAAATCACCCACCAAATTCTCCCCGACAGAATTATTCACAAACCAGAGAATACAGAAACGGGAAGGAGACGGTGCCCAGTGTTCTGGACTCCGTTAGACAATGAGATCAGAGCATTGTGTTTGTTTATCATGACCTGCCTTGGTGACCACTGGGTCTTGCTATATTTATCATAATCACTCCCTGAAAGATCATCTTTGTATTTTAAATGGAATTTGTGCTTATTTATGGTTAATGCTTTACAAGAACTACACTATGTAGTACTTTACTGCTTGGAAAACAAAGCAAACTTCTAAAAAGCAAATCCTTCCTTTGTGATTTCTACTTCTTGTTACTATGAAACCTAGAAGCTTGAAAAGTCTTGTTATTGTTGGAAATAAAGCAATGTTTATTTGGGGGGAAAACCTAGGGAAGAAAAATGTCCTCTTTTAAAATTCTAGCAAGGCTATGGTCACAGGTGGTCTCAGTTCACCACTGTGGGTACAGGGGTGAAAGCCCACGGGGCCACAGGGATGATTCTGGACTGTGACCATAACTACTCAGATTTAGAGACCAGATACACCAGAGAGAGAAAATAAACACGAATGAAAAATAAGAGTGAGAAGATGCTATTCCAAGTAGCACTTTCCTATTTCATGGAAAGTACTACTCATATGGCAAAAGGAGAGGAGAGGGCAACAAAAGACTTTTCCCTTCCTTTTAAGACACTCATAGGTATACCGGGAATGCTAAGGGCCAAATGGTTGTCACTGCTTTGTTCTCTGCATGGGAACAGCTTTCACAAATGCTGGCGTCAGCTGACTGTACATCAGCTTTTCTCATCAACTTTTTCCCTTTATATGTAGACCTTACAGTTCCATAGCAATAAATAAAATTTGTAGTTACAATGCATTTGTCAATTCAGTTTAGGCACAAGGCAACTTCCACAGTGAGTGGAGAGATCAAGACAGTCTCTGATTGTACAGAAGCGACACACTGCTTGCAACAAAATGATGGCTGCAAACATCTCGTGGGCTGACATTCTATCTGATGAGCTTCCTATCTTCACTTCTGACGGAAGTGTTGACCAACTGCTTTGATCATAGGTACATTTGAGTTTCTTGCTTCAAGTGGTTTTTCTTCTCCCTCCTGTCAGGTTTGTGTCTTCAGATAATCCGAGTTGTCCAAGTCCTTATGAGGAGAGGTCACCTTCTATCTAGCCTACTGATAACTCTGGAACTGCAGCAGGGAGAGAACAGTACCAGTGAGTACTTAATGGTCATGAGTACTACCCCTCCCCAAAATAAAACAAGCCAGCATCCTTCATGTACACCTAAATTTACAAAAAATTAGCAGTCTGCTAAATGACAGAGGTATCAGTAGTCCTTTCTTTTCCAGAGGGCATATGCCCCTTATCCCAGGGGAATATATCCCTTGGTCCTCGGCGGATGCCTGAACCTGGATGGTACCACGTTATTCATGTGCTATGCTTTTCCCTACACACATGTGCCTAGGATCAAGTTTAATTTATAAATTGGGCACAATGAGAACAACAGTAAGTAACACAATATGGTAACTGCAACAATACACTGTAATGCATTTGGTGCGTTGGGCCATTAGAAGAGAAAACACAGACTGTCTGAACACAAGCAGTTAGCAGCCTGAGATGGCTTCGGTAACCAGCCGGCTGCTACGTGACTAGCAGCACACAAGTGTGGCTACACTGCAGAGGCAGGCCCCGGCAGGACACAGAGAGGCTTTGTTACGCTACTTGGAACAGCATGTAACTTAAGATGCACAGTGCCTACTTCTGAAATTCCCCTTCTGAACATTTCTGGACCATGGTAGACTAATGAAATCACCGAAAGTGGGTTCTCGAATGAGGGGGAGGCACTCAAACAATGTTACCCAATGTATGTATTAAGATTTTGAAAACAAGATTGTGTGATTAAGAACCATGAGCTCTAGAGGTCTATGAAAATTTTGGCATGTATGCAAATTTGCATTCTGGCGATACCCGAGCTGCACAATTTTGCACATCCCACACTCAGCAGTTGAAACCCTGTCGGAGGCTGTGACTGCTGTGCCCCACAGTGCTCACGGCTCATTGCCCTCTCCTCTGGACTCGAGTGTCTGTGGGCAAGGGCCAGTCCACAGGAAGTCCTCAGTAAATATCATTAAATAATTTATTAAGAAAATTTTCACAAGACGCTATACCTATTAATGTTCTTGCATTACACATATCAACACTGAAAACTTCCATTTTAACTACTTAATGGAAATAATCTAGGAAGAATCATTACTTTCACTCCCTTATTACACACACAGTTCAGCACTAGAACTTTTAGAGATGGGAAAGTCAAAGCGCCAAGCCTTATTTTGCCAGTGTCCCCTCTAACCCCACAGGACCTTGCTGCATTGCCGAGGCTGGTCTCAAATGGTGCCGTCTCGGCCTCCCAAGTAAGCTGCACTTCAGGTGCACACCAGTGTGTCTGGCCAATGTGTGTCGTTTTATAACCAGTGGTCATTTCTTAATTCTGAATTCTGCAGCAGTTTCTCTGATGCCCAGTTTCTTTTATTTTAAATTTATATTTTTAGTGACAAGCCTAGGTTGGCTTTGAATTCACACCAATCCTTCTCCTCAGCCTCTCAAATCCTACAATTACATATGTGCTCCACCACACCCAGCAAAGCGCTAACTTCTTGAGACAAGGTCTTGCTATGCAGTTTGGTCTGGCCTTGAACTTCTGGCAATGGTCCTGCTTCAGACTCTCAAGTGCTAGGATTATAAGAATGTCCTACCAGGCCTGGGTCTTACTGGGTGTGAACTGTTTTCCACTTTTATAAAGAACTAAAAGTTATCAGGTGAACCCACATAACTTCCTTTATCCTTCCCACAAGTACAACTTCACCAGGAAGATAGGAATGGTGACTCATCATCAAGCATCTCTGCATCCCTTAGCAGGTCCCAGCGGGGCAGACGATGTGCTCACAGGGGTATCACAAACTGGCTTCCCTAACCTGAGTGGAGAGCGCCATGACTCCCGCATGAGAGAGTTATCACAGAAAAGAACCAGGTGAGCCACGGGGAATGCCTGATGATGCCGTCAATCTTGTCTAAGAAGGAGGGTTTGGACGTGAGTGGGAGCAGCAATATTTTCTGGTAGATAAACCACAGCCTTTTCTCTCTCAGATCATGGCGATGTTCCTGAGAGTATGAGACCCTGCGTTTCCTTATAAACCACAGAATACCAGCACACTTTAAGGCAAACTACTATATCCCAAATTAAATGTGGCCTTTACAAGCATCAATGCCCACCAAAGAATTCTGTTCAAAGGTTTCAACCCAACTGAAGACAGATCTTACATGATTTCTTTGCATTTTCTTCTCAAACCCACACTTACCTGGCTGATGTTTACATATGACCCATAGGGTTGGTAGTTTCACTAAGCCCAGGATGGGCTCCTGGCAGCGTGGTTGGTGGCTCTGCCGATACGGCAGAAACTTTTTCTTCTTCTCTTCTCTTAAGGCAGGCTGCTTTGGGGTTCAGGTTCCTCTCTGAAACAGGAAGAAAGAATTGTCATCATTCTGGTGACTAAAGTATGAACAGGACACTGAGATCTTGAGCTAAGTAAGCTGCTGTTCTTTTTCTTTCTGTGGGGACCATCAATCTCTGTAACTTCACTTGCACACTACTGAATTCCATCACAGAGAGGCACCATACATGCTCAGGAGTTAGCGTTCAGTGAGCCTCCATACTCCAGTTCTCAATGACTACTCCTTGCTTTCATTTTTTGCTTCTGATTTAGTCCTTCAGGGTTTTCTCTGGTCTAAATGAACACATGACTCTTCACTTAAACATCCTGCTGAGTGCCATTACTATTAACCATGTCATTCAGAGTCCTGCTGAGACGTTGCACTGACAGGGATGAAGGCTGATAGCCACTGCATACCTAGAGGAGACACGTGTGGCCCATCTGACAGAGTCCTCAGTGATTCCTCTGTAGGAGATGCACCAGCTCCAAGGAGACGGCAGGTGCACACGCTATGCTTCTCTACCTTGCTGGCTAACCAGAACAGGGTGCCTGGGTTGTTCCCTCCATCACTGAGGTGTGACTAAGACGGTAAAAGCCTTCTGCTGCACACCGCTGCATGGCTGTCATCCCAATTATGCAGAATTACTGCATTTTAGGCCAGTTTTGGCAATTTAGCAAGACCTTGTCTCAAAAATAAGGAAGGTTCAGGATGTAGAGCATCCCTGGGTTCAAGCCCCAGCACTGCAAAAAGAAAAGATATTTAGCTGCTAACTGCTTTTGATACAGTCTTTTGTTTCTCATTACGACATACAGTACAGGTTAAAAATTGTTGCACCTATTTTTATAAGCTGAGTAAAATGCTCTAATGAACAGAACATAAAGTGACCATTTTAAAATTAATCTGGAAGGAAAATAGTATTTTACAGATGTTATCTTTTGTGTTAGATTTTCGTGAAAAGAGCCTAGTTAAATGCACCATTAGTGCAGTCTGTATTTTAATGTTTCCCTTTTAAGTAGAGTAAAAACATATCTGAATCTGTATACTTCAGCACACACTAATAGTTCACATCAGGGTTTTAAAATAAAGAACTTTATTATGGCAAACTCAACTGATTCTATTACCAAGGCACGGTGATGAAATCTCATGGAGGTTCTGTTTCTAAATCATTGTATTTGCTGCAGATCAAACTCAGGACTGTGAGCTTCACCCTGACTGAAGAGCTGGGTTATCAACAAATATTTGCACAGTCTAAGTGGTAGGATTAAAACAGCTAGACAGGAACAGAACCAAAAGCTCAACAAGTATAATGAGACTTTGCAGATTTCTATAGTCACACAAAGGACTATTCTGGCTGGAAGAACCAGAATACTATAGCAAATCTAGCAAACACAAAGTACAGGTAAGTCCCTGACTTTTATCAATGAGTTCCATTCTGGGAGAATGTTTGTAAGCTGGATTCACTTCTCAGTCTGACAAAGATTGTACAGTATACCTATAAAAGTTTTAACCCGAATGCTTGTAAGTCAGGGACCTACTGTATATGCAGCTTTAATCCAAAGCAAGGCCAGTATTGCTTTTAAACTTTGTTGTGTATGTGACCAGCCAAAAGCAAATGAGTTAAGCTGTCAGAAAGGCCTAATACAGATATTCAGTAGAAATCAGACACTACCTGTGGGGCATTTCCACTAGGAAAATTCAATCTATTGACTTCTGGTATAGCTGAGCACTTAGCCATATTATAATACCGTTTTCCCAACATCATTAGAACAGAATTTTTTAACTCAAGATCACCTGTAAATGATGATAATTAGGCAAATGCTTGTTACTATGACTATGTGGAGATACTTGCTGAATCAAGGACTTTACAGCGGTTGTTTCCTTACTCATAACAAGGTTCCTTTCCTTATAGTTCACAGTTGCCACTTTTTTCATTTTTAGTAATGCTAACCTCCCTCCTCTTGTGCTCCAACAAAATCTAACCAATGCCTATCAATGTATTCCCTAGGATGGTAACACCTCGAACATATCATACCATCAACCAGCTCCACTTCCTTTCCCAGAAGCCTTTCTTTTACAGCTCAGCATCTTCTATTTTCAAGGGACAGGCCTACTGGTTCCTGTATGGGGATATTTCCCCTTTACTGTGTTAGAGCCTTTGCTTTCTGGACCTCATATCTGTGCCTTTTGTGGACTATGTTCTTATGTGGCCAAAGCCTATTTTCCATGTGCTTTATAAAATGGTATATGTGTGGGGGAGGGGCGGGGTGATTTAAAGCCTTTGGACATTGTTTCTTTTGTTTATACCTCTGATTAACTAGTGGCCAGGTATGGAACTCCAGGGTGAACACTTCCTCGGCACTGGGAAGGTGCCCTACACGATCTCTTGGAATCTGTAACTAAGGTACAGAACGCTGAGGCTACTCTGGCTCTTGTTCCTTTATCCATGAAGTGCTTGCCTTAGTCTCCAGAAGCTTTAGGATATTCTTTTGAACCCCAATGCTTTGAAATTTGATGATGTATTTTAGCTTTAGGTCATTTTCTGTCAGTGTAAGACTGGATCCTCATCTTTGAGCAGCACTTGAATATAAATAAGGCAGTCACCACTGCTCCAGCTGCTCCCTTCCTGCTGTGGGTTCCTGCTACCTCCCTGGATATTGTCTCCTCACTATCCTGTCCTTGTGCCTATGCATTCAGTGGGTGCCAGGAAAAATGGAGGACCATCAGTATACATATTGATTCGAACAAGCTTGCTAATTTCTGGGGGGGTGGAAATTTGAAAAACAACAACAAAAAAGCCTCAGGGGATTCTGGGACCAGCTAAATTTGGGAACAACTGTCAAAGCTTATTTCTCATCAGACTCTCTTGATGACCAGGAAATAAAAACCTAACCACTGTCTTGTCTATAAATTACTACCAGAAGAACTAACCTGTAAATGAGTCTACAAAAAGAAAATGTGACCACTGACTGAATTCTGAGTAAAGCTTCAAGTACCAACTTGATGATAACAAGTGCAATGTGGGAGGGACTAGAAATGCTACAGTACTGTTTAAATATTGGAAAGCAGGGATCACATACGGTTTCCCCTGGAAACTGTGCCCTGGAAAACTCTAATGCTTAGAGGAGAAACCACCCTTTTTTTTTCGCTTTTCCACATGACTGTGGACCTGGGACTGGCTGCTCCCGGGATAACCATTCATAATGGAGAGTACTGCAGAGCCACCTTAAACCAGGAGCCAGAGTGTTCAGAGGGTACTCAGAGTGGGCCAGTGTGCGTGTTCATAGATAATGCTGCTGGACAAAGCTGGGTGTGGTGGTACACACCTGCAATCACAGCACTCTGGGAGGCTGAGGCAGGATAATTATAAATTCAAGCTTAGCCTGGGTGACTTAGTGAGACCCTGTGTCAAAAAAAGAAGTTGGGGATGAGGATGTAGCTCAGTATGAAGGCCCTGGATTCAATCCTCTGTACTGGGAAAAGAAAAAAACCATCAATCTAGGAAAAGACAGTGGCTACAGCCAAACACGGAAGGTGCTTTCAAAGCTATGGGTTTGCAGAGGCTCTGAGCCCTAGGGTCTTTCATTAATTCTAGGACTGTAAGATAAAAATGAAGGCTTTGAACTGCAGGCCCAGAGGGAAAAAGCGGAGAAAAGTTGGCTTTTCTGAGTACCAAGCCCATTCCTAATAAAGTTACACTTCAGGACATTTGTTCAGAAAGACTCCCTAGAGTTTTTAGAACCCATAATCATGACCAGGAAGTTAGGCAGTTGACTAGCTCAGATGCTATGGTGGCACCACTGTGAAGTCGAGTGTCACAGATGTATCAGACCCACTTGGGATGGTACAGTCTGTGCACCTTATCTCAGACACATTCCTTATGCTACCAGCTCAGACCTAAGTAGGCATCTCTGCTCCCAAGAAGAGTCTGGAACACACATGGCCCCGCAGCCCAGCTCTACCATGCTGTGCGAGGGTGAGGCCCGGATGCCCTGCTGAGCAGAGAGCAAGCCTTTCCTTTCCCACCTCAGGAACAGGCAGGGTGGAGGGTAGAGGCTGAGTGGGCCAGATTCCTGAGCACAGGTGCCTTGCTACTTTCAGTGTGGCACAGCGGGTGTCAGCTACAACACAAGAAGAAAACCTCTCTGGGAGCTTGAAAGTGGCTCAAGGAACCTTGACTCCTGCCTGTACAAAGACTCTGTACAAGCACTTCAAGAGAGCCGGCATAGCCTTCAAGGTTGGGTTTCCATAGCATCTCCCTCTATAGATACTTCAGGCTTTTATAATAAGACTAGCAAGTATTTGGTTTTAATGGTAGAACAGTTATCCACAAAAATAAAATACACCTCACCCTTATATGCTAAATATATTGGAGAAAAGATGACTGAATTACTACTTTTTCTGAAAGTTTGTTCATGTTCTTTCTGATTTTCAAAGGCTTTTTTTCTTCTTCTGTGATCAGTACTGAAAGCTCATGGTTGGAACTCTCAGCAATTGCTGATTTCCACACTTTCATTCATCTTTTTCAAGTAATATCTAACAAACAAGAATTGCTCTCAGTGAAGAAAAACTACTGGTAGGGCCTGGAATCCAGGGCACCATTTATGAATTCCCTGCAGCAGGGCTTGGACAAAAGACATAACTTTGCTAAGACACACAGGTATCTACAGAACATAAGTTTGATGGTGGAACCTCTCAAAGGCAAGAATCATCTATTATCTGACAACCAAGGTTTAGAATAGAGCTGGCTGGTCCAGACAAGGTTATGTGATAAATGTAGGCTGAAGAAATGAAGTTTCAAAACTTCAAGATTCCATCAACCTTCATGAAAAACAGAACAGGGCAGCTGCCTAAGTCAGCAACATGTAACCTTTACAATCCACACTCTGGCCCTCACAGACAGACACTCATTCCAGTGCACATCAGCCAAGGCCATGGCATTCAGAACCAAGGTCAGGGGAGAAGCCCAAGAGCTTACAGATATGGCTCTTCACACCTGGCAAAGCCTTCAGGAACCACAAGTAGGCATCCAAGTACCTAGCGTACCTTGGAAGTGCTGCACAGTAGAGCCACTATGGAGAAGCGGGGAGACAGGAAAAGCAGGAAGACAGGCTGGGGCAGGATCCCGATGGTGAGAGAGAGCCTCAGGAGCACAGAGGCACCTGCCTTCCCCTTTGTTCTCTGTGGGCCACAATCAGCCTGCAGATACGACAATGAGACAGAACCACCTGGGGGAGGGGCGCACCCCAATGAAACCATGGGAGCAGTGCTGGGAGAACCTGCAAGCTGCCTAGGCCGCGGAGTGGCTGCAAACAGCAATACCCACCCACTAGCGGGCAGAGTGCTTCCCTCTCCCTGCTGGACCTACTTACCTCTGACTTGCTGTTCTAAGCTAAGGATGACGGCCACGGCCTGATGAAGAATGAGGAGTTTTGTCTGGGGCTTTTCGCTCTTCAAGTGAAGTTGACACATTCGGCCAAGCTCTTTGAATGCCTCATTAATATCCCGTACACGTAAGCGTTCTCTGGCATTGTTAGCCATTCGCCTTTCCTTCTCCCTTTCTATTTTCTGTTCTGGATTCAGATCCTCATCTTCATTTGTACTACTGAAAAACAAAATCACAACAATGTCTGTTAGCTTCCCTGGAAGAAAGATATGCTGACTGTATAAAACTATAAAGTACAAAGATGGAAGTGAAAATTCCTCAACAGTAGTAACAGCTTCCCTTAACAGAACTGTGTATTTCTCTCATTTTTCTTTAATACACATATATAATCATGTAGTTGGAATTACATCACATATATTTTAATGCATTTTTCACTGCACCTTTCAGCATGAAGATCTCTAACATTAGTGAGGCTCTCCATGAGCACAGCAACAGCCACGTAACACTGCAGGATCTTGGGACATAAATGTGGCTGACAGACTCCCTTGCTCCACTCCAAACAGCCTGATGCAGAAGGCTCATTTTGGCCCCACCGACTCACAAGCACACTGATGTTTAAAGCACTATCCTAGGACACAAGGCTTCATACTCTGACCAATTCTTGAATAGACTGTGACAGTCATGTGGTCAGAAAGAAGAAAAGCTTAAGACACAGCGTAAGAGAACCATGTCAAAAAATGCCCATTGCTGCCAAGTGTGGTGGTACCTGCCTGTGCACACAGCACTCAGGAGGAGACTGAGGCAAGAGAACTGCTATGAGTTCAAGGCCAGCTTGGGCTGCATAGTGAACTTCAGGCCAGCCTGAACTGTGCAGCAAGACCCTGTCTCAAAAAAAAAAAGGCCACCATCTCCTTGATAGAAATATCATAACCAGTGGTGATGATTATGAAATAGGGGAGAACTGGAATACTTTCTGGACAAACTGGCAAGATAAATTTAAGACCTTAAAATTTCATTACTTTTTGATTGGCAATTCTAACTTAGAAATGCTTCTTAAGGATATAATTAGAAATGTAGATGTGAGTTTTTTCAGAAAATAATTTTAATAAAAACATGTTACCGTACTTAGGTCAACACATAATGAGTTTATTTTTTATTTTAATACAACACTCTTCGATGAAAGAAATTTTATAATAAAGTAATTAAAGAATAATACTAATTAATACACTGTGTACCATGATCTTTTTTATTTTACATTTTGAGACTGGGTCTTGCTATGAAGTTCAGGCTGGCCTTGAACTCACTATGTAGCCCAGACTGGCCTACAACCCACAGTAATCCTTCTGTCTTAGCCTCCTAAGTGCTGGGATCACAGGTGTGCACCATCACACCTGACCTATGATTCTAGCTCAGTGGCATAAGTGCCTGTTTGGCAAATGCGAAGTCGTGAGTTCAATCCCCAGTACCAAAAAAAAAGAAATGGTCATATAATAATAGCACAATCTGTAACAACTAGATCTTAGAAACAGTGTACCTATCCGTCAACAGATGAATGGATAAAGAAAATATGCTATTTATATTCAATGGAGTACTATGCCATAAAGAAAGAAAAACTTGAGGAATCTATAGGCAAATGCATACAACTTGGGAACAGAATGTTAAGTACAATAAGATACACCAACAAATATAACCTTTGAAAAACTCAAAATATATAATTCCCCATATTCTGTCTTGTTTCAGAAACATTTCAATACGTAAGTTAATTGGTTTCATTTTTATTACTAGTTTCTCTTAGTCCACTCTACACAGAAATTTATATACAGGAGGTTGAACACAAAATTCTTTACATTAGCAACATATTGGTTTCCAACAAGAGGAGACTGGTTAAATAAATCATAGTACACGAGACAATGGATACAGGCTCTAAAGCTCAAGTTGCAGCTAATGCTGAGTAAAAAAAAAAAAAAGTCTTCCATGCACAACATAGTGCATGATTCCATTTGCACAGACTTCTAGAACATACAAAGCTATGGTAACAAAATGGTCCATGAGTGACAGGGGTGGTGGGTGGGGTAGGGAGTTGACTGCAAAGATGCACGAAAAAAGTTTCTGGGGGTAATGAAAATATTCTGTTAGCATCAAAATGATAATGGTTATGTCCTTTAGAGCTCTCAAAAGGAAAATTCTAAAAATTTTATGTATGCATTTAATATACACTTTGTCAAAGGCCAAAACTTGTACACTTAAAATTGGTGAATTTTATTAGATAGGAATTAAGTCTCAAGAAAGCTGGCCCCAAATAAAAACAAACGTATTGCAGAAAATACTGAGGGCAACTGAAAAAAGATAAAAATACATTGTTGAATGGAAAAAACCTGACAGTTTCAAACTTATGTCTGGTTTAATTCTAATTTGAAATTTTTTTTATGGAAAGAGTCCTTAAAATGGAAATAGTGGATTAATTCTGGCTAGTGAGATTTCTACAAAGAATTAAGATACAATAGATTCTTATTAACTAATCAAGAATTACACAAATGCATTCTTTTATTATTAGAGAGTTGCTTGCTCTTAACTTCATTGAGGCCTTCAATCATCTGGTCCAAAGGTTCCCAAACTAAGTTACTTGCCAGGCTCTCCAGAGACACAAAAAGACACAACTTTTAGCAGAAAAGCTGGACCCAGAGACCTGATTCCTACAGTGTGCCAGGGCTCTGTGCAGCTGGTTTGAGAACCACTGAAAATCCCCAAGAAATTGTCACCTTTTTGGAATTACACAGCTAATTAATTGGTGGCACAGCAATGGGACGCAAGCCAGTGCCTAGCAGAAGCAAACCTGTCACACACACCTACACTACCATCATCAGAGTAGCTATAGTGCCCTTCCTAATAGTATGCCACTGTGCAAAGGGTTTTACACACATTGTTTTCAGGCTATTTCTGGAAGAATACGATCATTAAGCCTACTTTTAGAGGAGGAGAAACTGGTCTCTAAGAGTTTTAATAACTTGTCCAAGGTAACTAACAGTGATGATACCATGATTCAAAACCAAGTCGGCCTTACTTTGTCCAAAGGTGATGCCAGTAACCTATTTATTTGTATTAACCTATTCCACTGCCTCTCAATTTCTGATGACCTATAACACGGGCAGTAAACCACAGCCTGCTTTCATAACTAAGATTTTATTGGCTCAGCCACACTCACTGATTCTGCACTCTATCAGGCTGTAGGGCAGAAATGGGGCCTCGTGACAGAGACTACATGGCCCACAAGTCTACAATACTCGCCATCGCCTGGCTCTTCACAAAGAAAGCTTCCTGACTATTGATGTGGAAGTAGAGATACATGAGAAGGCAACACGCAAATGACTTCCCTTAAAATTCTTTCTAAATAATAAAACTAGTTAAGAGGCCCAAAAGGAATGGTCTCTGGATTCCATTTGCCTGTTCTTACTTCCTTGTGACAACATCATGATCTTAAGAATTCATTTATTCCAAGAGAAAATGCTTAGGTAATGAAAATAGTGGGAATGTCAAAAGGCAAAAAGACATCTTTAATGCATGGAAATAAAGTCAGCTGTGATGGTACTTACCTGTAATCTCAGCACTCCATGAGGCTGAGGCAGGAGGATTTCAAATTTAAGCCCAGTCTGGGCAACTTAATGAGACCATCTCTTAAAGGGGGTTGGGGAGTGTGCAAAACAGAAAAAAAAAACAAAAACACCCTGGGAATGCAGCTCTGTGAAGATGCTGGGTTTCCCCAGTACCAGAAAAAAGTATATGCATGGTAGAAAGGACCATGTTATTTCTTTTAGTCATATCTATCATACCCATTATAAATTTTGTATCATAATTTAATACATAAAACATAAATTTCTGTATGTTATTTATATGCCTAAGTGTATATAGAAGTATCTGTTACATACATTATATACAAATGGATATACGTACTAAGAAATAGTATGTACTGCAAATACTATAGGAAGTCATCTTAATTTTAATTAGAAGTAGAGTAAAAATCTGGGAATCATATGAAATTAATGTATATATTTACAGACATGCTTAAAAGCAAGGTCAAATCCAATTTCTAGAAAATTTTATGCGACAACTTCACTTTACTTGGTTTTTTAGTATTTTTTCCAAATTACTGTTAAATGAGGAGCCAATACACTTTATAAAGGGCTAGATGTTAAGTATTTTCAGTTTTGTGGGCTACATAGCTCCTGCCGTAACTACTCAACTCTGCCAATGTAAAACAAAAACAGCTATAGACAACACAAAAACAAACAGATGTGGTGGTATTCCAATAAAATTTTGCTCATAAATTTAAGTAGGAGGTTATCTTATACTAGCCCATGGGCTACAGTTTGCCAACAGCTAGTTTTAACTATACAAGGGTCTTATAATTCTTTTTTTTTTTTTTTAACATAACTAAGTCTTAGGTTAATGTTTTTTGGTTGAATATATCTAAATGACTACATCTCACAAGTTAACATACTACAATAATTTTTCCTCTAACTGTTGAGGCAAGTGACGTAGTTCTTTTTTATATGTATATTAATTTTGGAGTCAAACGTTCATATTCTTCCTTGTAGGCATAATGTGAAGATTGAATAGGACAAACATAAAAATCTCATCATAGCATCTAGAACACCACTGACAGTGAATAAACACACAATTCCCTTCACATCTTTCCACTTCTTTTTTTTTTTTTTTGTCTTTTTATCTGTACCGGGGGGATTGAACTCACGACTGCCTGCTTGCAAGGCAGGCACTTATGCCACTGAGCTAAATCCCCAGCCCCACATCTTCCCACTTCTGACATGTCAGTAAAATTTAATACGTGGGTACTAATAAATACCTTGTTCTGCCTCTAGATGAGACTTTGATATCTTTTTGGGAGGATTCATCATCTGATTTCATGTCATCTGATGAAGGGGGTTCATGAAGGTTCTCATCTTTCTCTTTGTTTTCAGTCTTGATTTCTGTTGGAATGACAGTACCAGACTGACTTTGCAAGCCACCTAACGAAGAAAAGGAAACAAACAGCTAATCAGCTGATGGCACAGCAATGGGAAAGCAGGCCAGTGCAAAAAGATTCACTTACAAATTCCAACTAAGAGAGTAACAAGCTTTCTGGATGGTGAATATCCTTAGTTGTACAGGGGTATGACAGAAATGTGAATATGTAGGAAAGTTTATTACTCAAAGCTGGGAAAAACATGTCCAAACTTTTTATGATTTTATGGCATTTGTATTTAAAAGAACAAGCCGAGCCATGATGGTTAATCTAGTGCTTACTTTCAAGCACTGCTTACCAAGTAAGGCATGAGAAACTGCCTTACTTTAGAAAGTAACTTCTAAGGTGCTGTCAAGCTAAAAAGGACAAGAGCATTTTCCAAGATAAACAACAAAATAGGCAGCACAGTTACATGTAGCTGGGAGAACTTTATCTTGGTAATCTTACTGTTACCTCTATATTTATATTTATTTATAAGCTCAACTGTTAATATTGATAGCAACATGTTCGTATCACAACTGTCTGTCTCTCCAACGCCAGAGATAAAGCTAGAGTGTGCATGTGGTACCCACTCTTGTGCCGATGGGACAAGATACCTCCCCATATTCCCACAGCAGTGGCACTACCTGGGAGGGCCCTCTTCCCATGGCTTCTCTTTCACAGATGTTTTGCTATAAGAACAGTGACGGGAAACCAAATGGCGTCTCTGCACTGCTGCTACGAGGTGCTACACACCTACCTCTATAGCTTTCTTGTGGTTTATGGTTCAAGTCTGTGCTTGAAGCAGCAACGGTACTAGACAGGACTGAATGATTGCCATTGAGACTAACAGAATCTTCCCGATGAGCTCCAACCTAAAGTAAAAACAACAGAAAGGGAGGTCAGGACTCATTACTGTTTTGGGGAGGTGGGAAGAATTGGGCTTCACTATGTTGCTTGTGCTGACCTCAAAACCTGGGCTTAAGCTTCCTTATCTCAGCTTCCTGAGTGACTAGAACTACAAGTGCACATTCCTACACTTGGTTTTATCTAAATTCTTTTCAGGGCTTAAAACAGAAAACCGTATCATTCACCTGAATTTGGCAACATTTTTTTGGATTCCACTTTTCTGGTTTTCAAACCAAAATGTGACTATTAAAAGAAAAAGTACGATTTTCAAATTTTAAATTCCACAAAGGTTTTTCTATGAAAAAATGAGCTAATAGAGATAAAGTGTTCCATATGCTATAGAGCACACATAAAGGTCCGTTATTAACCCTATGTAAATCTGAAGTCATGTATCACATATTACCTAAATACTGATATATTAAAATATGACCTTAAATGTAACAACATACTGCTACATTCTAAGTACTAATAATATTTATTTAAAGCTGGCACCTCTCAAACACATATAGGATCTTAATTTTTTCTTTCCCTAACTGCCTCTCCGCAATAGTTTTTAAAAGAGTGGCAGAGACAAAACAAAATTAAAGTAACTTGAAAAAAGTTTGCCTTGCTAGGCAATAACTTTAATCAAATGTACCGATGCCACATTAATTTGAAGTAAGAAGGCAAATCATGCACACAGGATCATGTATTTAGCTATTGCAGAGTTTTTGGTAAAATGTCTTACAGAATGAAGGTTTTTATTGCCTGGAGTTACACATAAGAACCACTGTTTTCCAGCAAGTCCTCTAATCCACATAAATGATCAGTGTGGAATCCTCCTGAGTAATTAGTATTGCTTTTATCTTTAATAACTATATGAATTTTACCCTAAAAAATATAAATATCCCTCTGCAAGTTTATCCTTTGATTTTCTATGAGCTAAACAAAAGGAACCAAAGTGTAGTTTTAGGTAATGCAGGTCATTTGGTGGTGGAGTAGAATATATCGGTTTTCTCACAACTGTAAAGAAATATTTGTTTTTCATCCTTATTGTTATCTTTAATGCACTCTTTAAAATTCCATACATAGCTTCTTCTGAAATTACCAGATTACCTGTGACACTGCTTGTATGGATATTCAAGAACTGATTGTCCTTTTTTAAGTAACATAAACTTCACCATGGATCAGAATCATAAAAGGGGACATGGAAAGTACAGCTGATTTCCAATCTTCTCCTCACCACTGTTATGTTTCAGCCTTCCCTCAAAACATTTGAGAAAAACCTGTAGGTTGGACATAGTAGTGCATTCCTGTAATCCTAGTGCTCTGAGAAGCTGAGGCAGAAGGATCATAAATTTGCAAATTTTGGCCTAGTGTGGGCCACTTAGTATCTTAAGATACTAAGACCATGGCTGGAAGGAAGGAAGGAAGGAAGGGAGAAAGGAAGAAGGAAGGGAGAAAGGAAGGAAGGAGGGAAGAAAGAAAGGAAGGAAGGAAGGAAGGAAGGAAAGAAGGAAGGAAGGAAGGAAGGAAGGAAGGAAGGAAGGAAGGAAGAAAGAAAGAAAGAAGGAAAGAAAGAAAGAAAAAGAAAATACAGAGAGAGACAGAGACACTGGGGACATAACTTAGTTTGGCCCTTGGTTTCATTTTGGTACCCCAACAACCAACCTGAAAAACTTATCCTCATTAAAAAAAAACTATTTTTGAGAGAAATTCATTTTCAAAATGTCTCATGAAATCCTGTTTCCCAGGCAAGCATCCTGGCCATGTCTGATCTTAATATAAAAACAAGGGCATCTTGCTAACTATGGGCTACTCATACACGCAAGATCAGTTCAAAAATCTATTTTATAAAAATAGATGTGGGGAAAAAAACATACAGCTGCAACCTTATAATATGCAGCTTGGAACTTTAGAAGCCTAGGACTATTCTAAAGAAAAAATATCACTAAGTCAATTTGTATTGGCTCAGGAAAATTTTGCAGGCTAAAGCAACAACTGAGATTTCTGTTTGTATTTATAATAGTATAAATTTAAAACATTCTATAACTTCTGGTAATATGTGCTAATTCTGTTCTTATGAGCTTAAACTATCATACTAAGTAATTTAAAAGGAAATAGCCTTTTAAAATTTAAGCATGCTTACTAACTACATATTATACATGTGAACCATTTTATAGCTCTAAAGGATAGCAGAACTGAATTTTCATTCAATTCGTGAAAATTCATCAGTTAATTCTGATTTAGTATTTTATCAGAATTTTTTTTTTATTTCTCTGGAACTTAACTAATAAAAATATTCTATCATCTTCTTAATGGAAGGCTTGGAGACACAGGATTATTATCTGAACAATAAATCTTAAGGATTCTGTCTTTCCCTTAAGGAAAATTATGAAGATTACTTGATTTTTTTTGTAATATAAATTCCAGCAAATATTTTCGTCTCTACAAAATATTAAAAATTAAGTGTTTTCTCATACCAACTTGTATTACTGGGTTTCAAAAGAAAAATTAATTGGCACATAGCACAAATGCAAACCTTTGAAGAATAGTCTCAGGCTAGCTGGAAGCTTGAAGCAGGAACTTTTTCTTTGTAACTTGATTTACCTTGCAAATGGCCTCATGTATTTTCTGGAGAATGTCACAGTTTTACAGTTCTGTTTAACCCTGACTCACACAGGCTTCACACCCTCCCTTCATCTGCTGTTCTACACCCCCTTCAAGCACAACAGGTGGATAAACAGTTCTTTGAGCCTGGAGCCTTTAGACAGCCAGATAGGACCCTGTGTAATTGTCCAGCTCGTTAGCATACAGCTGACAGGCTGCTTCAATGGAGGTGTATTAGGGAAGGCATCGCTCTTACTCTTGTCTGCTATGCTTTAAATTTCAATTATTATGAAGAGCCCTATTTCAGAACAGAAGGCCCATCCCATTAAATGACATCATTCTGCATAATAAGACTGCCTAGTCTGTGCTGGCCTGACTTTTTGTTGGAGCACCCAGCAAGGCACTTGTTTGCATTTAACCCAGCCAATGGCATTCACACTCACAATGGAAAAATGTTCAATCTAATTAGTTTATGAATAGAAGGTCTTGTGAATTAAGGGACCAACTGAAACTACTCAGTATGAATTCCTCTGATTTTGAGTCTCAGTCTAGTAATTTGTTCAATTTGTACTATTCACTGGATACTAATGACTTAAATCATTCAGTATTTTAATCTATAGTTGGATTAAAGGGTCTTTATATACTGTATACCCTAAAGTATTTTATTTAGAGAAATTTTATTACAGAAATGTGGCAATATATAACTTGTTATGTTTCTTTTTAAAATGATGCTTCCACTCATCTGGCTTTCAAACTTTTAAAAAGCTGTGATTTTGAACAATTTTTAATTTTAAAATGCTACCAAAACCCTTTAAAAGCACTAAATGTGACTTAATCAAAATAAAAATTTTAGGAATTGTCAATTTAGGAAAAAAACCAGGCTGAAATAGTAACAGAGCAGCCATTAGTAAAATTCTCTATCCTCGTGAAACTGACATATTTTCTACAATATACAAACTCTAGTTTCTACAATACACAACACTAGTAAAATTAACTACTATTCAAGTGGAAAAGATTCTAAATTTATTTTGTTAATTAACAGAACTTAAGTAATTCTGATTAAAATATGCTATTTGCCTAACAATAAAAATCTGCAGGAATAAAAAAACAAAAAGGAAAAACAAAAGAACACAACAGATAGAAAACAACAACAAAAAACCACCTCCATTTATTTCCTTAGTTTTTTAATGACATCAAAAGACACCATGTATGGAATTCTATACTGTTTCTTCTGCATCAAGCTGCCATTAGTGTAAAGGATTGTAATCTGTTTGGTCTTTAGCTGAAATCACGATCTGATTGAGGAATAAACGAGCATTCTGTTGAAGACAGAAGCACTATCATGGAGCTAGGTTCTTGTGGAGCCTTTTTACTTCAATATTTCATCCATAATCAGCTGTGATGTACTGTAACTTCATGCTGGTGAGACTTCTGTGTGTTAACATAAAAATGATTCTGTTCATTTTCAGTTTTCTATTTAATTTTAATTCCTGTTATCAATATATTCCAAAAGTTTATTCTTAGGCTGGGGACTTAGCTCAGCGGCATAAGCGCCTGCCTTGCAAGCAGGCAGTTGTAAGTTCAATCCCCAGTACCAATAAAAAGGAAAAAGGAAAAAAAAAAAAAAAAAGAAAAAAAAAAGAACCAAAAAGTTTATTCTTGGCTGGTCCGATGGCAGTGGGTTATCAGAACTTATTAACATTAGTGTCACTAAAGTTGGTATACCACCCCCCCCCCTGCTAAATTTGACTGGCTTTAAAAAAAAAAAAAGTTTATTCTTACAATAAGTAAAGGAATAAACCTGAAGCCCAGGGCTGACATTACAATAGCCCTAAAAAGTCTGACTTTGTGTTCTAAAATTAAAATGATACATCAGGTTCACAATACGAGAGTGCTCGACAGCAAGTCTTCAGTTTCATACTTCTTTTAAGTCAAATAGAGGGAAATCAAGAACACTGAATAGAAGTAGGAAATTAAGTAAACAAAAACTAATTCCATTAAAAAATACAACACAAAGGCTGGGGATATAGTTCAGTGATAGAGTGGTTTCTTTTTTTGGTATAACTAGCTTTCAGGGAATTTAATCTTTATATATAATCAGTAGCCTAAATATGTGAAAAGTTTTCTGTGACTGAAACTTTATTTCATTCTAAACTCTGATGTTACTGTAGTCAAGCATGTCTTGTTAAAAGAAGCAACAGCAAACACTAAGTTTTTAATACTGACCTCTATTAACATAATTTTCTGGTGACAGTCTTCTTACCACCTTTGTGTAACATGTGTCTTTCTAGAACACTTAAAAAATATTAGACAGTCACTTCATATAAGACAGTAAGGTCAATCTTCTACAAATCAATATTATCAGGCAAAAGTAACTTAGAGGGCTGTGGTGCAGCCTGGTAGAGCCCTGGGTACAATTACACCCAACCCTCTCCAGAAAGGTTGTTCTCAACAGTAGTTATTCCCCTGACCAAGGACAAGGTTCTGACATTCAGATTTTATAATACAGGTCGTCTTCATTGAGTGTTTGCATTACAATATGAGAGCCACTGTCGGTACTAAAACCACACATCTAGCAAGAATATGAAAGAGCTGATTCCATACAAGTGGGTATCAAGGACATCAGCAAGGGGCTTTCACTATCACCCAAAGAACACTGGGCCATAAGACCCCCCAGATACCAGAGTGCTCCCTAAGGTGCTTAACCTTGAGTCACAGTGCTATGGTCCTTAACAGTGTGGTCAACCCAGCCTGGAGTTAGCGCACCATGAGCACTGGCAATAGCTCGAAGCCATGGCCTGATTTTTTCCTATCATTTGGTCTTTTTCTTGAAAACCAGAACAACTCTAAGCTGAAGTGTTGATTTCTAGCAGATGGGAGATTAATATTGACTTACCTGACAGTGTTAGATTTTGTCAACTAGCTACCTTCTATTTTGATTATAAACTTGGCAGAAATATAGGCTCTCCACTACATTTCTCTACTATGTATCTATACCATATATCTCTACCGTGTATCTCCACTATGTATCTATAAAATGTATCTCCACCGTGTATCTATACTATGTACCTCCACTATGTATCTATACCATGTATCTCCACCATGTATCTCCACTATAACTATACCAGGTATCTCCACCTTGTATCTCCACTGTGTATCTATACTATGTATCTTCACCTTCTATTTCCACTATGTTTCTCCACGGAGTTTCTCCAAAACTCCACTATCTCTACATGTTTCTCCACTATGTATTTTCACTGTATAACTCTGCTGTATTTCTCCACTATATTTCTTCTTAATTAAGGCACATTCAAGTTGGTATAACCAACTACCCCAAGACGTAAGAGGCATTTTTTATGAATTCACCATTTAGTGGGGAGGAGACAGAGGTATCAAATACTACAGTGGATAAGTGGGAATAAAAGCAGTGAGCTTCCAACAGAGGAAAATTATGATTAAAAAATGAGTGTAAGAAATTCAAATATTGCAATTAGACCTATTGATTTTTAAGTCACTCTTCTAAACAAGGATAAATAGTATGTCAACAAATGATTAGTTTGGTGTTCTAGATTCACATTTGTAAAACAGCATCCTATTGGTCTTATAATACCATTAAAATAACTGTACTAATAGTACTAGCAGCTCCCTTTATATTTCAATGAATTTCATAATTCATGAATATCTTCACAATTATTAACTTATTAAACAGCATTAGAAATTAATTTTAAAGGAGTCTAAATTTCAAGCTTTCCTGATATTAAAGAACAACAAAACCACCTTGTTGTGAAGACATGCGGGGACCTGGCATCACCAGGCTGTGGGAAAACATTGGGTCTCACGAGCCAGACAGCCTATTCTGATGTTTATCTCAGGGTCTCCAAAATAAGTGTTGGTGCGGACTGACGCTTGACTTTGGAAATCTGGAACCAATCCTATTTTACAGAACACAAGTCTTCGTCATTTGGGACACCTAATTATTTTGATGATAGGTGACTTTTAGCCTTGATCACATGGCTTATAGCCCGAAATCTGTTTAATAGAAGAGTATTTCTCAGGAGGCAATGAATGTTAAGAACCATGCCATAAACATGTAAACACATGGTACTAATTAAACAGCAGGTTCAAAAAGAATTTCATTCCTTTAAAAGACAATCTGGCTGGAGAATAATGTTAGACATTCAAAACAGAATTTCTGATATGTAAGGGTTGTAGAGGCTTATCTTGACCCCAAGAATTATCATGCTTTTTCAAAGATGGATTCAATTATTATTCTTTTATGGGATTAATCTAAAAATTGTTTCCTTACTTCAATTATAGCTGTCCTTAAAACTATCCCCTGTTTATTTCATTTGGAAATGAAGTTTAAATTTGGACATGAACAAATTAAAGTTTCATGTTTTTTTTCCTGCTATTGGAGGTAGATTATGAAGCATAATAAACAATTTTCCTACGTAGAGTCCTTAAAATTTGGCCTTGTCTTACTGTAGTTATTCAAACTTCTTGCCCACTATTTCAAGGCACAAACTGTTGTGCTAATGCCTACACATTTGGAAGAATAAAATCCAGATTTAAGCTAAAATAGTGTCTGTAGAAAGTTTCTTTTTCTTGTATATAGTCATAGCAGGATTTTATGGGTCAATACTCAGCCAGTAGCTCTGCCCCAGATGACAAAGGAAACTTAAAAGGCTCTCTTTACCTTCCTTTTGAACAGACTCTTTCCAAAGGTTTCATGTAAACACTCAAGGCAGCAGTCTTTAGAGTTATTATGAGGCTGAGAGCTATTTTACCATTGAAGCTGATCGATTGTTTGTAACAAGGCTTGATCCTCCATAGTTTGAACTGAGGCTTCCAATTGGTGCACTATGGGATGGTCCCAATAAACTGTGAATATCACTGTGACCAGCAGGTAAACTGGTGGAAGGTCCCACAGCATGGTTCCGCAACACATGGATAGCATCATCTAGTCTGTCCAAACGATCCTCCATTCGAGACTGCTGTAAGGATTGAAACCAACATGAAGGTCACAGCTAGTATCTGTTCAATTTATTAAGCTACTATGTATCCTACTTTGGGATATATGAAAGACTGCAAGTGAAATATAATATAAAGCAACTTCAAAATCAACTACCTGCTCTACAAACTGACAACAAAAAAAGAAAGGCTACCTGTAGGTTCAGAAGCAAATTACTACTTTTGTAAAACAAATTTACCAATCTACTATGAGGTTATTTCTTTTAGTTTCTACAAAAGATGAATGCTACTATGTCAATAATTATAACCAATAAAAAGAATAAACTGTACTTTAATTAGAAAGATATCAATTTCGAAAGTGTCCTCAAATCCATCAATTTAAGTTGTAATTTTATGTTAGGTGAATAAAGCATACCTATCTTCATTGGTGAACACATCCAAATATGTTCTTTAATAAAAGTGAAGAAAATGACATTGCCTGTCTGTGGATCTACATATACACATGCCCCACACACAAACATTAGAATTTTAAAAATCAAAAGCACATGCCAGTAGAGCTCTTAAAAAAATCATTCTCAACAACATAAGAGACAAAAGTCTATTCTAACATATTGTTATGAAAACTGAAATGGTCAGATGTTTGACTTTAAGACTCTGGAGTCTGTACAGATTTTAAATAGGTAATGGAAGGATAAGTAATTGAAACACACAAAAGGCACCATCTAAAAGAAATAGTACCTCACAGACATCCTTTAAGAAGGACATTGCATCTTGCAAATGCTCGTGAAGTTGCTGCTCAACTCGATTTTTCTGGCAAAGTCAAGACAGAACAGGAGGCAAAGCACAGGTTAAGATTAACTCCAAAAGAGATGAGAAAATAGCTGATGTGCATGTTGGCATAACATGTTAGTAAAGTTAACATGGAGATCTGAGAGACCTATGTGTATTAAGGTATGAGAAGGCTGGAATTTAACAGGGAAGTTAAAAGGTTAGCATCTAAACAGCACACATTGCTTATATATGCTTGCAAAATACGTAAGAAGAAAATGTCCTGAATTTAAAATGTTTTGTTAGTCACAGAAAAAAAACATTTGTTTTTACAAATAGGAATTATTACATGATAGTATGATTTAAGCATTCCATTAGATCAGACCACCTTTATTTTGTAACTGTGGGTTACAAATTTAAGCATATAAAAGCAACAGTAGTTAACATTCTACCACAAATTCTTCACCCTCCAGTAACTAGAAGGTTCCTTTACTCTGTTGTCTGGTAGACAGTTTTCCTTGTCTGATTTGCACAATACAGTCTTGGTTATAAGAACACATATGAAATAACATTTCCCTGACAAAAATAATTGATATTCACTTAAAATTTTAATGTAAATGTAATAATTATATTTTCATGATTTAAAAATTTTCCCTTATACATAACCATGAAGCATAGAAATATCAAGCCCAAGATTTGTCAGAGAAACAAAAGTTCTGTAACACTGTTTTAACAGCAGCTGTTCTGACATCAGATGCCTGATATCCCCAAGAACAGATGGAAAGAAGCACACCCAGTGCGTTTTCTATTGTTTAGCTAAGTCAGGCCATTTGTTGGCAAAGAATTTGTGTGTAAAGCTAGCCTACTGTTTCTTCATTGCAACCCAAGATTTACTTAAAAACAACAACAGCAACAACAATAGCAGCAACACAACAAAAACCCCTCCAAGTTGTGTACAGATAAAAGTCTGTAAACCTGTAAAGATCCGCAAAAGGCTCTTACCAGGGAGTGGAGCGAGTTTTCATAGCTTGGGGATGATGGAGCCTGCCCTCCTGGTCTAGGCCACTGAGTGGTACCTGTTTAAAGCCAAAAGCATCCAAAACAATCTGGGTTAACTCACCATTTTGACAATGTTCTAAAAGAAAAACTCTTGTAAATAAATTTACATGCAAATTTTTGTTCAGCCCTGAGCATAGATTAGTTACTTATTAACCCAAAACACTGAACAAAAGCTTTTATCATTTATCACTATAAGAGTGTAGGGGGCTGAGAAAACAAAGGGGAAAAAACTGTAACAACTATTTTCATGTTTACACACTTTTTAGATTTTTTCCACATGCTTATGTGTCTTGAGATAATATGCATCTAATACATATTCCTTTTTATTGTATCTCCCCCTTCTTCACCATGGTTTTATAGACTTTGTTAATGCTATTAATTACTATATTACTACTTACCTGTTTATACCTTAATTTGCTTAACCAGCTGTTACGCCATCACTGGAGAGGTCAGTATCATGGATAGTAAAACTCAAAAGAAGGCACAGAATCTTAAGAGGATGAACGAAGGAGTTACTGGATTAATAACTTGGGGAACATATGCTATCAATGAATTTTGTGAGCTGAGGGCTGGGGATTTAGCTCAGTGGCATAAGCACCTGCATGGCAAGTATGAGTCATGAGTTCAATTCCCAGTATAAAAAAAAATTTTTTTTTTGTGAGCTGAGATGTAAAATAAGGACACAAAAGAAATCAGACTCACAAAGCTGATCTTTTTATTTTTCTTCCCTTTTCTTGAGACAGGGTCTTGCTATGTAGCCCAGACTGCCCTCAAATTCTCAGTGATCCCTCTTTCTCATCCTCTTGAGTGCTGAGATTACACGTATACGCTAGCATGTCCCAAAGTTGATCTACAAAGTCATCTTAACAGTTGTGAAGGCACTCACTTGATAAGCCTAAAGATCTTTTTCGTCACGGGACATTATTGTCATCTCTAACAGTGCATTTGTCTTGCAATAAACAAGGAGGAAAAAACCAGTAAATATTCCAAGACTTTAGCAATTGCAGACCACTGCTGACTTATTAGCTAAAGGTGAAATTTTTGGCAGTGGGGCTGCTATTCAAATTCTGGACACAGACCATAACATTAGCATGTGTCTGAAACTAGACAGACCTGTAGTTTCATCTTATAAAATTAGTATATGAAAAATGGATATCCATATACAGAAGACTGAGTCTAGCTCCAGCTCTCAACATGTATTAAACTAAAATAAAAATGGATCAAAGACCTGAATGTTAAAACAGAAACCCAATCTACTGAAAGATGACACAGGTAAACTGCTGAAGACACAGGCATGTGCAAGGACTTTCTGAACAGAACCCCAAGAGCACAAACACATGAGATCATACCAATTCAAAAAGTTTCTGCACAGCAAAGGAAACAACCAACAGAGTGAAGAGACAACCTATAGAATAGGAAAAAAATTATTGCCAACAATTCCCCAAACAGAGGAGTAATAAAAAATATAAAAAGAACTGTAAAAAAAAATTAGACTTCCCAAAATAAAAGACTTGATCAAAATATGTACAGTCAAAATGAATAGACACTTCTCAGAAGAAGCACAAATGACCAGTAAATGTATGAAAAAAATGCTCACGATCACTGGCCATTAGAGAAATGCAAATGAAAACTACACTGAGATTCCACCTCATTCCAGAAGGAATGGCCACATCACCATCAGACAATCTAATAGTAACAAATGCTGGGGAGGCTGTGGGAGAAAAAGAACTCTTCTGCATTGCTGGGCAGGACGTAAGTTAGTACAACCACTGTGGAAATCAGTGTGGAGACTTCTCAAAACACTAGCAATTTCATTTGACCCAGCTATATCTTCTAGGTATCTTCCAAAGGAGATAACGTCATTGTATTACAGAGACATAAGCATACTCATGCTTATAAACAGTACAATTTTTAATAGCTAGGTCTTGGAAATAGCACATATGCCTATCAATAGATGAATGGAAAAAAAAGATGAATGATAAGCAATTTATGCATAATGGAATACTACAATGCCAAAATGAAAAGGTAAACCTGAGGGATTTACATGTAAATAGATGCAACTTGAGAACATGATGTTAAGTGAAATAAATCAGACACAGCTTAAATATTGCATGGTTTCTCCTTTATGGAAAACAATGTATATGCATATGCACATGTGCACGTGCACACACACACACAGAGCAAAATAGAAGAAAGATAAACATCAAGTAGGGAGAAGTTCAAACACTTCCCCAAATTATTCTTTTGTTTCAAAAACATTTTAATTTGTGCTAATTTGTTTCATTTATACTACTAGTTTGTCTTAGTTCATTAAGAAAGATTTATGATGTTATCTATTTCTTTGTTAGATTCATTTTGGCTTGTCTTGTACTCTGTGTAACTATTTTGAAGACGATAACTGTGTATTAACCAGTTAGTTATTATGAAATTTTTTGTAAAAAGTTTTTCATTAAAAAGTGATTTAAAATCTAATGTGAGGATACAACTATACACATCAAATTTGGAATCATATTTATTGGTGCCTGTAGCTTATAGCACACAGCCCAGGGAGCACAAGGGTTACTTAAGAGACTGTTCCTCCCTCACTGTCCCTGAACGCATGTGTGGATGGTCTGGGCTTTCACTTCCTTCTAATAGACAAACATGAGCTTTCAACTGTTCTCTGCAGGAAACCATTTCTGTCATTCTTGTACCTTTTTTTGCTTGTTTGTTTTTTACTATGTAATCATCCCCAAGAGCTACTCTCATTCTAGAAGAGTTATAAAAAACCTTCTTGATATTCAAGTTTGCTGAACATTCACAGAAAACAAGCTGGTTGGGTGACTAGGATAAAAGAGTTGAATTATTTGGTCAAAAATCTGGAAGGGCTTTGGTCACTGAATCTCCAATTCACCCAGTCTTTACCTACTATTTTTTGTTAGTGAATTTATGGAATAGATAGCAACATTTTAGCTGGGACAATTTTTAGGAGCATTTACAATATATCTTCTTACTCTGCTAGTTGTTTCCTTTGCAGTTTCCCCCAAACTCACACTTGCACTGGATTCCCTGAAGCCTGACACTGTGCTCTCCCAGACTCAGTCCCAGCCAAGCTCTCCATGTTGCTGCTCCCAACACTCAGGTGTGACCTGCTCACCCCTGGGTGACTCTGGGACATCACTTACACAATTCCTCACAGCTGGGTCTTTGCTATGTGCTTCTGTTTATATCCAGAATACTTCCTCTCCTCTTTTGGAAATCCTACTCTTTTGAAAAGCCATGTCTTTACAGTGAGCTCTGTGTCTCAATTTCCACCTTATATTCTCTATTAAACTAAAAAATTTCTGAAATCAGGTAACTTAACACTTATTTTATGCTGATCACAAAATAAGCATCTCATTGAACTCTAATAAAGATTTCACTTACTGAACTGTAAATGCTGAGGACTGAGTGGTTACTGAATTTTATTCATTTCTATTCCAAAAGGAAGTAAAGAAAGGCCAAGAATGCCTGTCTCCCATGTGCTCTTGCTGAATGCACTCTCTATGCAAGTGCTGCCTGACCCCCACCGACAGGTGCAGCAGACAGTCACTCCACCCTGCTCTGCTGTCAAGAGTCCTGACTTCACTTCCCAGGGTGTAGCTGGGTGGTCCTGTCCCTTCCTAGTTCAGATTAGGTATCCTGTCTGAAAGTTCCCTATTTGTTACAGCAACTGCATTCAGTCCCATGATGACTAGTCATGGGGAAAATCTGTTGAACAAGCTTCTGAGAAAGGTTTCTTATAGACAAGGAAGACAAGTTCCTTTCTCTTCTATTGGATATCTTATATCCACATGATAGTACCTTAAACAGCTATTGTGCTACTAGCCAGAAACAAAACAAAACAAAACAAATAAGAAACCCCAGCTCTTTAGAAGTAGAGCAGGAACTGTGAGACACAGGCCCAGGACTGGCCTGCCACACATGGCAATAGCTGTTCTTATAGTTTAAGCTGGCTGAAGTGAGAGTTTCCTTTCCTTTCATCCCTAAAGCATGCTAACTGATACAGTATTGAAGAAGCTTCCTCATAAATAAATAGTGTGCAGGTAGAAATGTAAGTTCCTGGCTCATAAAGCTCCAAATGACAATGAGGGGGATTTAACCAGAATTAATGTCTCAAAAGTTGCCTATGTGTGCAATCCGCTTCTGTCTGTCCCTCTTTAGAAAGCCTGTGCTTAAATCCAACTGATACTTGGTGGAAGGGGAGGGTGAGTATAGCACTGTTTTTCTTTACCCCTTACTGTTGATATCTTTATAACACAGTGCTTTCCTTTCTCCCTCTTCCTCTTGTTCCATCACTGTTTCACCATGTGTGTGTATGCATGTGCACAGAGTAGAGAATGTGGGGCTAAGAAGAAACCCCTACATATAAAATTTGGGAGATGCATCTCTACAAAAATCAGCCTTCTGATTTGATAGTTCCACAGGAGTATGTGAAAGTACTTTGAGTATGCCCGCTGAATGAGGAGTCCTATTATTAACCTTTGTTAAGAAATTAAAAAAAAAAAAACCAAAACAACCACCACCAACAAAACCAAACCAAGGAGATTAGTACTCATTAAACATCATAGAAAGGGAGGTGAAGGGCACGTGAGGTTCTTGGGACATTCTGTCAGAGTCTCCGTGTCACCGGCAGCCCCAAATGGATGCAGAGCTCTGCTACAACCTTCCTCGCCAGTGTGAGCTGTGGCATTAGGCAGAGGAGAGCAGTAGGCATGTACAGTGAGGCTGGATCTGTACACTTAGGAGAGAAAGTGAAACAGGCTGTGCAAGACAACACTGATAATTTCAGTAGAAGCGTGCCACAGTGGTGAATAGGATTAAAAGTTACATCGTCCTTCCTGTCATTTCAGCTCTGTTAAACAACAACTTTAAATCAATGGGTCTTTCATAGTCCTGTCTCGGTAGGAAACAGCTGCTCAACTTGTACCAGACAGCTGAAGCCGGAGTGTCTGAGAGAGTGGCTGAACTTGCTAACAGCTGCCAGCAGCTGCTGAAGCTTGTTGTCTCCACCGTGGAGCTGCTGAGCAGGGTCCCAGGTGTGCACAGCATAGGTGAGGGTAAGACCTGCAGTCTCTGAGCCCCACTGTCAGAAACTATGCACAATGACTTAGGCTTAAAAACAGAAATCATGGAAACACTGGCTTTCTGCGGGGTAGGAAAACAATGTCTTCTTTAAAAGAAGCTGTGTATTTTTTCCTTCAGCAAAGTTTTTCTCTCAACAAAGTTCACAAAAATATAGCTTAACAGGTACCTCATGGTTTCACGTACGTTATTTACTCCTGGTATGTATTTGAAAAATCCTCATTTACAATAGCAACTGTGTCTCAACAAATACATACTGTAGGACACTATTTTGAACTTGTCAAAAACTCATGAAAAAACCCAGGAGGACACAAAGCAAACTTGAACCATTTAGTGGATCTTCACTAACATTATTCAGCCATAAGCATAGAGAGTTCCTTTCCTTAGCAGAAAAACAGACATCATCTCCAGGAACTTGTGTATGTGTGTGTGCATGTGAGCACATAACAATATGTCAGTGGGCCTAAAAATAAAGACGACCTAGCTACATGAGTAGCTCTTATCTGTTAAGTTTCATGCACAGCGCATGGGGTTGTGGAGGAGGTCCATATAATTTCTATGGTTTTGTGCTGTTGGGTATTAAAACCAGGCCCTCATGTACGCTAAGCACACACTCTATCACTGAGTTACATCCCCAACGCTTATGCTTTTAAAAAAAGTTTTTGTATATTTCCTATGCCAATTTATAAAATATCAGAATATTGTCCAAAATGAATGCCATAATGCTTTTGTTCAACTGAAAAATAAGTTGACTGAAATATTTCCAAGTGGACCCACATGTTGTGAAGTAGTTAGAAAAGAAGCCTACCTGTCAGAGGTGAAGGTGATCCAACTGGTGTTGACGGGTTTGATGGGAAACTACTGCTTGTATGGTCGGGAGAATAAATCTAATAAAAAAGAGATACATATGAATCAATATGCACTAACTGCAAAAACCCCAAGTGTATTCACATGGAGTAGTTTTATAATCTAAGATGTTCTTACCTCCAAGACACATGGTGAAAAAATTTTTCATCAATTTAAGACAAATTTATTACATAAAGGCAAAAATAGTCTCACGTTTATTTATTTTTTTTACTTTTTCTTTTTTTGGTACTGGGGACTTGTGCTCGTCAGGCAGGTGTTTATGCCACTGAGCCAAATCCCCCGGCCCAGTCTCACTTTTAAAACCAGAATAAAAAAGAATACTATTCTAGTTAGAAATAATTTAAGATTTCTAAAGGTTACTATAGAAAAACAAGAAGTAATTGTAAAGGAACAAATCTAATAATCAGCTTTTCAATAATACATCATCTAATTAAATGATATCTTTACAAAAATTACTACTTCACAAAACCATTAACTCATCTTTTGAAATGCCTGGTACCAGCAAAGTCTTAGATTTGATTTTCACTGCCAAAAACAAACGAACAAACTAAAAAATCTTTAAAAAGTTTCAAAGAAAATATTTTTAAAAATGGTTACCACTTACCTCTTATTTTAAAAGTTACCAGTTTGATCAACCACATTATTTGTGAATTTTAGCCCCAAATTACTGTATTGTAAAAAGTTAAACTTCCTTTCAAAAGTTTCTTTTTCACTCTTGGAAAAAGTGAAACAAAACAAAACCTTCAAGTATTTTAAAAACACTGCCTCTGCCCCCAAAGGATCTGTGGACTTTATTTCCAAACAGATCTCCTTGAAATGGATGACATATCAGGAGGTACAAATCTTGGTATTTAAAAAAAATGTTGCTATATTTATATTGTCAAGTAAAAGGTGACAGAAATTCATTTAAGTTTACTTAACTAACCAGTGAATATTTTAAAATTTCCTTTAACTCAAGTATGAAGAGCCCTTAAAGGTTTCTTCTGGAACAACTGTTTTCTTATTTAAAAAAAAGTGAATGATTTTTGCATTTCAGCAGATGAGTCAACTTCTGAGGCCAAACTGTGGCCAAACATTTTAAAACAGAAAACTAGGTGGAAATAACCACCCTCTAGCCAAGACTGCAGTCTCCAGCAGGGTCGAATGCTAGAATATAGTGACCGCAGTTATGGCATATAAGGAGTCTAAGGACTGCTTTTTCAAGAAAACATGGTATTTTTTTTCAACATTTGAAAAAGCCATTAGGAGAGGTTCCTATAAAAGAAATCCTACAAGTCACAATGAACATACGTCATGGCTTTCATTCTAAAATTTTTCACCAATTCCAAATTGCAAACAGCAAAAAGTCTATACTCTGAGGAAAGTAAAATATACTGAATCACGTATTAATAGATTTTTAATTATAAGTATTTTTTAACAATTCTAACAGCCAGGTCTGTAAGCTGCATAGTCAAGTTAAAAGCCATTCTGGAAAAAGAAAGCTATAGAAAAGAACTCAAGAGACTTTAGAGCTGGGCATGGTGGCACACATCTGCAATCCCAGTACTGGGAAGGCTGACCCAAGAGGACTGCTGTGAGCTCCAGGCCAGCCTGGACTACGTAATGACACCTAATCTCAAAATAGCTAATAAGACTTCAAGAGACTAGGAGTACTGATTAACAGAGAATAGTATATGATCAATATCACTGATCTCCAAAGTTGTTACTTAGGGGTAGGGGCACAGCTCAGTAGTTCCATCCCCAGCACCAAGACTGTTACCTGTCCAAAACTTCACAGCCCAAATATGGAAATTAGCTATGGGTCACCCTCTGGTTCCTAGGGGCTCATATGTACAAACTGGTTTATTTCAGTCATGGAAGTAAGGTCACCAAACTTCAAAAAACATGGCTCAACATACATCATTTTTGGTACCGGGGATTGATCTCACGACTGTCAAATGCTCAGTTAGCAACTCAGCAAGCCAAGTGCTTATACTGCTGAGCTAAACCACCAGCCCTTCAACATACATCTTTACTAATAAAAAAGACTGCTTATGTTGTTCAAAATTCAAACAACTGCACCTTTTATGAACAAGGAATGCTCTTTCATAAAACACCAACATTCTGAGGGGAGGAAAGGCTGATGAACACTGGTGGTGGCAGATGACTGACAAAAGCTTTAGTTCCGCACAAACTATGATTATTACTAAACTCAATGATTTTGAACGCTCGTCGATCAGGATGAAAGCACCTGATAAAACCAGAATTCCCTCTCTGGCAGCATACCCTGCTGCTGGTGCTTTCTTCAGAATGCTTCACATTATATTCCTAATCATTTGAATCTGTTTGCTTTGACATTACCCTTCATGCTTGTAAATGGGAGCTCCAGAATAGGAACTCTGCTCTATCCACTGCTACAGCTTCAGATTCTAAACTGTGGGGTTCAGAACATACTTTCTAAGAACGTATCCTTGCTAGAATTTCCATCTGAAGAATTCTTCAGCCCTTGGATGTATTTACTCTTTTCCTTTCCCAGTTTCCTTACTGCAGATTTTCCCAGGACTCTAGTCTCAGTTTTTTATTTATCTCTGCTTTATCTCTTGGTATTTGCCACTTTTGGTAAAGTATCAACCTTCATATCCCCATAAATGGCATTGAAAGTGATACCTTTATCCTCACAGCGGTGGCCTTGGACTTCTACATTTGGACAAGCTCTTCTTTTGTCTCAGGCTGAGAACTTCCAGACCCACACTCTGCCTCACTGCCCTGTGCTTCTCCTTTACCCCTCTATACTTCTGTTTCTCTACCTTGGCTAAGCGCCTCTCCCTCCTCTTTCCCCAGTTCTTTTACTCTTCTCTCTGCAGACAGCAATCTCGTAACTCAGCTTCCGGGACAGGTACACACCATTCCCTGCATAATATCACTTTCCAGCTGAATACAACCAGGGATGGACTATCCAAGTCATCCCACAAATAGTTGCCTGAGCTGTGGTTCCTGCACATAGTTGTGATCAAGTCTTTGTTGCCACCAACTAAAAAAGAATGATGGCTGGTTCCTTTCACAATCTAGTCACAAAGTGTCTTTGTTTATTATCTATGCATCCTGTCATTCAAACAGTGTTTTTCATTTTCTAAACATTGCTTGCCCTGCTCTCAGGTTGTTTCTTCACTTCTCCCTTATAGAGTGCTGCACCCACACCCAAGTCCCTGAGCTCAAATGTCACTTCCCCATTTCCACCTCGCTTAGCATACCAGAGTAAGCAAAACTTCTCTTGAGCCCTTTCTTCACACTGTGTCTCACCATCATTATTTGGTTATCTTTCTTATCTTCTTTCTTTTTTTCATAGCAAGCTCTTTGAGGGCAGGGACCTTGCACAGTTTAATACTAACTCCATCATGCCTGCCTCTTCCTTGTAGAAGTAGGTGCTCCATATTCTTTTTAAAACTTGAGTGACAAAATTGTACTTGAAATTTTCTATAACACTTACTAGTTAAAAAAAATCAGGGGAGGGGGCTGGGGATTTAGCTCAACAGCATAAGCGCCTGCCTTGCAAGTGTGTGGTCGTGAGTTTGATCCCTGGTACCGATAAAAAAGAAAAAGACATAAAAAAAAAAAAAATCAGGGGAGGAGAGCCTGAACGTCACACATGTTAGGCATGTGTTCTATCAATGAGCTACATCCCCAGGCCAAAAGCAGGACTACTTAACATCTTAGTACTTATGTAAATGGATTAATAGAAATACCAAAGGGGAAAAGAAGTTTGTTATACAGGTAATTTTATTTACAGTTCAGTTTTATCACATAAGATTTGAGAACAATTGGTGAGGGCCTACTATTCTGGGGATGTGTGTTAATGTACTGTAACTAGGCTATCTATAGCACATCACTAGGCAGGCACAGACTTTTGAGGATATAAATGGACTACTAACCCTTACTTTTCCTGGTAACTCTGCCCTTACAGTTCAATAACAAAGCATGTCAAGAAATGGTGACAACTCCTTTTGCCAAAGAAGGTAAAGCTGTATGTTAGAATAATCTAAGATTACTACCATTTAATGACTTAGCAGAATATTGTAGTCCTTTGTGTAAATGGGTATAAACTTTTTAAAAACCACTGTGCAGCCAGGTATGGTGGCTCATGCCTGTAATCCCAGCACTGGGGAGGCTGAGGCAGGAGGATCGTTGCGAGTTCTAGACCAGCCTAGGCTACAAAGTGAGCTCAAGGCCAGTCTGAACTGCATAGAGAGACCCTGTTTCAAAAAGAAAGAAAAAAAAATACAATAAAACAAAAAAACCACTGTGCAAAAAGAAGTACCAAAACTGTATCAAGTACAAAAACCTATTTCTTGTACTTTTCCTCAATCTGTGCAATAAAAAGGCATTTTATTCTGCTCACCCATCACATTTGCTTGTTGTACTTTACATTTGCAATACATTTTCTTAACTTACAGATAGCCCAGCAAGTTACAGAGGTCTCCCTTACCCCTTTTACTTCCATAGAAAGAATGGTTATGGAGGGATAGGAAGACAAACACAACATTAAAAAAGCACAATCTTTTGGATTGCCAATTATTTCACTAAACTCAATCTCTGTAAATTTACTGTTAGGAAATTACAAATAAATTATATTTATTTCATAGAAATTGTTATGTTACTGTAAGAAATTTTAAACATCAAACTTTGTTTGGCAAAGAACATTTTACATCAAAAATATATTGCTGGGCTGAGGATTTAGTTCAGTGGTATAAGTACCTGCCTTGCAAACAGGCGGTCGTGAGTTCGATCCCTGGTACCAATAAAACAAACAAACAAACAAACAAAATTTCTTTTTGTATTTTTTGGCCTTAAAACTCCAACATTAATGTTTGAGGGGGAGAAAAAAAGCAGCCAGTAACTTAAAAACAGGCATGGGGTGACTTGGTGCAGAGCAGAGCATGAACACAAACTAAGAACTCATTGGTCAAGCAGTCCACGTTCCCTCCTGCTAAATGATCAATGAGGAATAACTCCCAACACCTTCTGCCAGGCTCATGCAGTAATAGGCCTTATTTTACTACAACAAATGAGGCTCCTCCTCCTATCAGTCATGGTCCATTCCAACCAGCAGGGCGCCAATAAGCCAGAAGCTAATGAAAAGGGCCTCAAACAAAAAGGAACAATGGAGAGCTCCAAAGCCCAGCCTGGAACTATGAGTTCAATTTTTAAAACACTACAGTGCACATTTCATTTAATCTTTGTTATGTTAATGTTACTGAGTCTAAAGAACAAAGAAACTTATCTCATGAATTACTTTTAAGCGTCAACTTCCATGAATTTTCTTTTGTTACAGACTACTGACCATTTAACCATCCAGATAACACACACACACACACACACACACACACACACACACACACACACGCGAGCGCGCGCACCCCCTTGCTCTGAGGTAGAAATCAAAACATAAATTATCACAAAGAAGTCTGATATAATCAACAAAGTTAAACAGTCCCCTTGTTTGATCTCCTTTAAATTAAAGACTGAGTGTTTTGATATGGTATTAGGCACTGAAATAAACCAGATGTTTCTTCCTCTATAGAACTCTCCATGGGCACAATCTTAAAGGGTTATTGTCTGGCAAATGTTCAGGGAAACACATTAGAAATGGCACGAATACACAGATTTTCCTTTCCTCCCATCTACCCTAGTTTATTATCTAAACTAATGCATAATCCATAGGGCTTTGGGAACTTTGTGTAAATACTTTCATGTACAATTCTTTTTCTTGCTACCCTGAGATTAAGACCACAATTATCCAGGCTTAAACCTAAAATAAAAGAACCTTTGCAAATGTATTATCTGGCCTTACATGTTTAATCACACAGTATTTTGTGTGCTCTTTAATACCTAAACTGTAGAACAAAGGTTGTACCCTCTAATGTTTCACACATGAAAGACCTAAAGCAGATATCAGACAACTGGAGAACCAGAATTAACTTCTAATGATAACACACAGTGTTTTCCCACCTAAAGCTAAATGCTATTTTGAAAATGTTGCATTCTGAACAACTTAAAATTTCAAATATTCATGGCCAGCATTTCCAAAGATCTGTAACACTTAATGTGAAATTCTGGTATGTATGTCAGACACTAAATATAATCCTCATTTGGGTCCTTCTTATCTCTTCTATCCTTCCTATCCCAAAACAATGTAATATGTTTTTTTTTTTTCATCATATATAGAGCACTGAACACACATTTAAGTGAATGTGAGTCTGTAACAGAATTTGGGGAGGTGTCTGAATTGGGGAGCTAGAGACAGACTAAGGGAAGGGATATGAAACCTACAGACTATGGCATGCAGTGATAGAGCAGATGGAATGCATCACTGTTAGCTATGACAGAAATGATTTATGGAATGACCTAGCAGCTCCTGCCTCCAACAACACAGGATGACACTGCTGAGTTTCCATGACAACTAGAGCCCACCCACTAACTAGATTAAACATTTCTTCCTTGGCTTCCATGCAGAGTGAATTTGGATTTTCTTTTCCCAGAAATGCCAACCTTCTTGGGCTAGTGTGCGTTCAGAATATGGCAAGATATCTGAGGACTTAAAGGGCAACCAAACAGAGCCTGAAGGCCAGCAAGGACACCACAGACTCTTGCCTGTCTATATGCTGAAGTCTTTATACAAGTTTTTCTCAAACAGATGGCCTATGAGGGAAAGCAAAACAAAACCCCTGAACTGCATATTCTATAAAAGGTTACCTAACAATAAAAGTTCAAATGTCATTTATCCTCTTACATGAGAGTAGACTCACACTTGTTAGTGGACATCTCCAGAATCAGCATAAGGAATACTGCAAGCCACTCAAATCCCTAGAAATCCCCAGGATTTAACTATGTACACTAATAATTTTCTTCCTAAATAAGAGGTTTTCTTCAATAGAAATAAATTCGGAAGACAGTGGGACAATCCTCTTTGATCCCCATCTACACTTCTGTATGACACATCACTGCGGCACTGCAGTTCCTGGACACACACAGTGTCTCAAACTAATGAGGTCAGGGTTCTCATGCACAGCAATATTACCCTTACTAGCTTTGTGAGTCCCAGAGCAAGCTACTTAATCTTCCTGAGCTCAAGTTACTTAAACTCTTTAAACCTGATTGCCTCATCTATAACACAGGGTAACAACGCCAACCATACAGGGTTTTCTTGAGGATTAAACAGGGAACATCAAAACTTAGCACAGTGTCAAGCACCTAGAAACTATTCAAATTATAGCTAATAAATTTTGTGGGTCTTTTATTATCATCACTATTATTACATATGTTCCAAGACTGAATTCAACAAACATTTACTAAGCTCCTCTTTGGTGTGAGGCTCCACTAGGAAGCAGATGAATTTGACTTGCTTTCATTTCTCAAGAAGTCTGTTCATGGATATAAGGAAAGGTTTATTTACATAAACAATATCTAGAAGGTTTATGTCATTATGTTGGCTCCTATCACTAGCATGTTAAAGTGCTGTACCTTCACCACAAACAGCAACTAATATGCAAATCCGTGGGACTTCTAGCAATGCTTTGTTTGAATGATTAGACTTGAAGTCTTTAAGGTTACTGATCAGTGATATCCTTTCTAGTTTCAGCGTTCTAAAAGAATTTAATTCTAGCATTTCAAGATTTAAGATATTAAAATGTAACACTGCTCTGTCACTAATTTCCTGACTGATATAAACTAGTTGTTTAAGAAGATATTTTTAAAAAATACTACAAAATCTTCTGAATCAGTTTTATTCATTTTAGACTGAGTTCTTCAATGAATCTGGCTTTTTAAAAAAAGTCTCATTCCCCAGTTTTGAATGACTCAGTTGCAGCAGATGGTTTTTTTCTTTTAAAAAATTCACATAAGACATTCTCCATTTTGGAAAAACTCTTAGGTATCTCATTCTCTAGATCAGAAGAATGACTGCGCTGTCTCTCCTGATACTATCTGATTTATTTTAACGAGTCGAATTAAGTATTGTTTAAAACAAACACACTTAATCATGGATCTCAGTCATTTGTTCTTTAAATTTCAAAGACACCCAAATTTCTCTTTCTTTCACCTGTATCTTAAAGATGGATATTTAAACTGAAGCAAGTGGGATGTCCTTGTGGTGCGATGGAAAGGTATTTTTATGAGTTAACCTCAGGGTACACATCACTATAAACTAAGAACAACTGTACAAGAGTAGTAAGTGAGTAGTTTTAACTACACCCTTTGTAACACAAAGTCTAACCACTGCATTTAGCAGTCAGACGATGCACCAGAACATGGAAAATCAATACTCACAGATGCCAACGCCTTTCCAAGTGCATCACCTGTCTGTGAGCTTCCAGCAGCATTCCCTCTGGTTCCTGGATATTTCAAGGAGGGAAATAAGTCACTTTCAGCAGGAAAGAATATATTCTTAGCACAATGCCATTATTCTACAGGTGATCACTATTGTTATTATTGGTTTGTCACAGCAAATAGGAAATATTCTGTATTATATTTCACAAGTTAAAGCTGTATTTCTTAATTTCTTTATTAACAAAAACTTCTTTTTTTTTTGTTGTTTCTTTTTTTGCTCTTTGGAGACAAGATGTGCTATGTGATTCAAGCTGGCCTTGAACTCACTATATAGCCTAGGTTGGCCTTGACCACCCAGTGATCCACCTGCCTCAGCTTTCCAAGTGCTGGGATTATAGATGTGCACTACCAAACTCAACTCTTCATTTTTAAACTAAAACTTAAAAAGAAAGAAAGGGGTTCATTGAAAAATCCCTAAATTAGGTTTTAGAAAGTTTTATAAACCAAAAGGCTCACCCAGAATGCTGTCTGATCCATTGACAGGAGGAGTGTGGGAGGCAGCAATGTATGGGGAGCTGCTGGTGTTACCACGGTGGAAGCTGGACATTGGGGGAAGACTTGTGCTCATGTCTGTCGGTGAGACTGAGTGTGGAGGGTAACTCTAGAACAGGAGATGGAGGCACACTGTGTTAAACATACCTCTGACTGGGTAATGACTTTAACAGGTCAAAAGAGCATTGTAAGTTAGCAGCTAAAAGCTGCTAGTACTATCATTTGCTTTTGGTAAATGTCATAGGTCTAGAAATACTTCCAACTTGAGGAATTTTGGCAGAACCAAGCTTCCTATTTGGAATATCAAAGAACACCCATGTAAGGGCAAAGAGTGGCTGCACCTTGGCATGTGCGGTTGCCTACCAAGCGGTCATGGGAGTGAAGGCTGCCATAACTACTGGACTGAGACATGTGGGAAGCAGAGGTCCCCAGAATTCCACCAAAACCAGGCTGGCTCATCCCATTTGATGAACTCCAAAGGTCAGAAGAATTGTGGGTCCCATCTAAGAAAAAGAAATAGAAAATTTTTCTTAGCTAATTTTAAAATTTCTGATGATGCTTATAAAAATTCAAAGGACACCTTCCAGATATTTTTCCTCCCTCTTTCAACTTAATTTCCTATTCAGTTTTCTTCTCTCCAAACTATAAAATTACCATGTTGGGCTGGGGATTTAGTTCAGTAGCATAAGCACCTGCCTGGCAAGCACTACGTTGTGAGTTTGATCCCTGGTATCAAAATAAATAAATAAAATAAAATTACTATGTAAAAGGGAAGAATAGACTTTATAAAAAATGTAATCCAAACTATAAAGGTAGGTCAGCCTAAAAATCCTCAGATGATACAAATTCTATCTATGGAAGACAATAAAATTTTCAAATTTGAGGATTGGTTGGACTTAATTTTTGGTTAAATGGCATACCTAAAAATATACCAAAGAAGTTCTTAATCTCTTATAAGCAAAGTACATTCTTTCTGACATTTTGAATCTTTGGAATAAACAATGTTCTTAATATTTTTTTTTTTTTTTTTTGTCGTCATTTTCGTTTTTATCGGTACCAGGGATCGAACTCACGACTGCCTGCTTGCAAGGCAGGCGCTTATGCCACTGAGCTAAATCCCCAGCCCCAATGTTCTTAATATTAAACTTAAGTAATTGATAATGGGCACATTATAGTCAGCCTTCAAATGAAATGTGACTTCATTCATAGTGTAAAGTCAGAAAACCATTTATATAATAATTTATTACTCCTATATCATATGCTTTTCATAATTCCAAACCATAGGAGACTACATAAAATGATTTGCTAGTCATATATTACAAGAAATGCAACATTTTTTCTCTTTTAACAACTCTGACTCTGTTCCATGATATTCACTCTTCGTTTGTATTAGTAATTCTAAGTTGACATGAATCTGTAATTTAAATGAAAAATCAGGGTCGTTAACAGCTTTCAGATTTTTAAAATCTAAAAAAGCCAGAACAGCTTTACTCATTCTGTATAAATTCAATCAGTAATCGACAGGTACTTCAATAGTTTACATGATAACCCAATTAATTCACAGTAAGCAGTAAATAGCAGTAAAAACCTATACAGTTAAATTTTAAGTTACTTCTGCCCTGAAATACCTAGATAATGCAAAGTTATTTGTATAATTATTTTCTTTCCTCATACTTTAAAATATGGGCTAGCACACAGGTGACTGCAGTCATACTGACGGTTGTTTGGCAGTACTCACCTTGCATAAAGAAAGTGCTAGCAAACATACTGGTTGGTGGCTTAGGAGATGGATAACTAGGAGATTCACGGTTGAAGTCATCTGAATTTGGGGATGGAGCATACACCTTAAAATTAAACAGGAAATTTAATTTAAAATGAAATGAGTATATTATTATTTACATTACAAAGTACCTAGAAATCCCATGTAACCCATACATACAAAGGCCTACCATAAATACAAAGGATACTGCCTGAATCCATATAAAGAAGGTTAAATTTTTTTTTACACTTTTTTTTTGTCCTTTTCGTTTTTATCAGTACCAGGGATCGAACTCATGACTGCCTGCTTGCAAGGCAGGCGCTTATGCCGCTGAGCTAAATCCCCAGCCCCAGAAGGTTAAATTTGTTTACTAACTACATGTTGCATTTTAGTGGATTACTAGGAAAAATATTCCAAATAGCCATGAAATTATATGTTGATGTGAAATTACACCAGGTAGATAAAGTCTTTAAGTGTTCATTTGGATAACAAAGCACAAATTTCACACTGGATTATGATTAAAAATCTGACTAAACCAGCTGGGAATAGTGGTGCAGGTCTATAATCCCAGCATTCAGGAGGCTGAAGCAGTAGTATTGCCATGAATTCCAGGCCAGCCTGGGCTACATAGCGAGTGTAAAGGCAGCCTGGACTACACAGAAAAACTCTGTCTCAAACAACAACAAGAACAACAACAACAAATCTGACTAGGCTAACAAACGTCCTTAGAATAGACAATAAGGTATAAAATGTGGGATAATGAAATACATTCTTTTTCCTGTCACAGTATTTTATCAAAGAAACAAAATGAATTAGATAAAAGGTTGCCATCTTTTGTTACTATTAAAGTAACTGTGAGAGGCACAACATGATTACTAACTTCTTCAACTTAAAAGCATTAACAGATATATTAAAACCAATTCTGCCAAGGAGTTTAAATTTTTTAACGTCTGGGGCTACTTTAAGAGAAATCTAACTTAAATTTTTAAAAGCAGTGTTAATGCCCTTTTGTAAACTTTTGCTTTAAACTATGAACATTTTGAATTAGCAAATTATCAACATTTGCATTTTAAACTTAACAGGCACCAATGATCAAAACATAATGATTAAAACATAATCATACCATTCTAACTTCTAAAACCAAGAAGGAAAACAACATTTAAAGTCATGTACTGTTTGTAAAAGTAAACAAGGACACAGGAATACGAGAAAGAAAAGCTACAGGGAACAGTTTATAAAATCATTTGTTTTTAGTGTAAGGGTACATCCGTTAAACTTCATTGCAAAATAAAAATCTTTAAGTGTTTACTTAACTGAAAGTAACATTAAAATTATGGAAGCATGTGTAAAAATCATATTTTTGATTGTTTGAACAAAATTTCTGCAATTACGCACAAGGTAACTGAAAAATAGTTACATCCCTAGATTTAGAATTGTGAAGGACTTTTATTTTATACTCTTTCATGTGATTTGTGATTTTTATCCTAAGCATATTCTTGTAAATAGTATGAATAGTACCAAAAATGTTAAAAGCACACTAAGATTAAAATGGGAACCCGTTTTACTTACACAAACTATCAATTACATATTCATCAGCTATCTGTAAAGACCTCTGGCAAATCCCCCTAATCTGCTTGAGACTCAGTATCCTCATGGAAGATGGTGCTAACAGAACTACAAGTCTGGGGCTTGATGGAAGAGCAGAGCCGCCTCTGTACGAAGTAAGCAGTAAGAATGATCTCACAGTATCATCTTTGCGTTAGTCAACAGAAGCAGTAATGCTGTCAAATAAATACAGCCCCTATTAGTCTTCAAATGTTGTTCCTTAGCGTTTTTGTGTGACAGGACTTTACATATTCACAGCTTTTCCCAAACAGAAGGTTTAGAGACTTCTTGTTACTCTTCCTGGTAGGCTTGATATTCTAGCACAAGTATGACTTTTGTTTTTTTTTTTTTTTTTTTTTGTCTTTTTCGTTTTTATCAGTACCAGGGATGGAACTCACGACTGCCTGCTTGTAAGGCAGGCGCTTATGCCGCTGAGCTAAATCCCCAGCCCCCACAAGTATGACTTTTGAAGGGACTGGCATTCAGTTTTGTTTCCTACCTTTCATATCCCAGATGCAAAAACACATTATCTGTGGTACCTGAGAAATTTGGGTCAAGATAACATATATTCCTAAGAATTATCCGGAAGGACACTAGATAGGGCATATGGCAGATAAAAGTTTGTTCATTATATATATTAAACAAACCGTTCTACTTTAAAGCTATTTCATAAAAAGATGTTAGAATTAAATAAATTAAAATGTATTAGATAGGTTGATAGGTAGACAGAGCTTTCAGGAAAGGAAACTATTTAGACTATTTTCTTTCAATCAAATTTTAGCTTGAATCTCAACCATAACTAGATGTCCTTTGCCCTCTTTTTATATAAATTTTCCCAAACTAGGCTAAAACTGCATACAAAGAGTAAGTAAATCCATAGACTTAGCTAGAAAATACCAAAGCAAATCAAATTCAGAAGACAGCATCATAACACATGCTTTTTATCACAAGTGTGTATTTACTATACACATTGCTCTTCTTTGGAAAGTATAAAATGAAATTCTTTAATTCTATTTAGGTTATAGGCTGAAATAACATATAAGTCGCACATTTGATAATTAGGAAAAAGCAGTTCTGACAGATCATTTCATGCAAAAACTCTGCATAACTTGTCAGTTTAAATTTCTATATAATTTGCAGATTTGTTTATCTTTTATCCTACTCAGCTCACTGTATATCACCACAGGACTTATGCTCTTGAATTTTCAAATGTTTGCAATTACAAAAGAAAGTGAGGGACCACACTTGACTTTACTGATTTACATACTGCTGCTAAAGAAAAAATTTGATGGCATAATCATTAGTTGACAGTTGTTAAGGATAGCAAGGACTCCAAGACAACCACACAAAGCAGAAGACCCTTGTCCACTTTCTTGTAAAATCTGAAGCTAAATGAAAGTCCTGTAAGAAAATTTGTTTTTAATGACAGTCTCTGTAAATAAGTGTCAAAAATAAAAAGGTGTTACAAAGGCTACCTCCCGGTTGGAGCTCTAATTTTTTTCTTTTATCAAAGTTGTTTAGACTACTCTGAGTGTTTTCTAGTTTTTACAGAAATGTAAGAATCAAACTGTGAATCTTTATGAAAAATGATGTTGGCAGTTTGATAAGGGATTGTGTTTTTTGATCTTTATTCTTTTCTTCTATTTGTTTTTGGTTTTATTCTTTTATTTTTAATTCCTCAAGGAAAGATATGAGGATATTTCATAATTTTCTTCTTTTCTAACACATGTACTTGGCATTCAAATAATAAAAATAAAAAAATAAAGATTATCTCCTATAAATAAAAATGGTAAAAATTCTAGTACTGTATCATTTATGTTCTAATACAATTTCAAAATTTTCATAATAAAAATATTTTCAAATATATGGTCTCATAGTGGCCCCACGAATAGCATTTCTAACTACATGTGGTATCCTAACCAAAGCCCGCAAAGACACAGATGCAACGCTGTGAAGCAGCCGCTTTGCCAGTCTCTATTTTTCAGATCAAAGACTTCTTGCGGCAAAGTGCAACTGATGTGGTCTTGAAGAGTTTATTAACTCCAGATGTAGGGAAATAGTGAGCCAATTCCTCAAAAAGAGCAAGTCCCTTCCTAGTTACAATCAGTACTGGCCACAAATTAAAACCAGACTGCTTATGTCATCTGATCACCTGCACATAGATGGCTAAGGTTTTTTGTTTTTTCTTCTAGTTAATGATCTAATCATATATTTAAATCTCAAGGATGATTTTGTATCACAACAGACAATCTTAAAATTAAGAGAAAGGAATACGTATGCTTTACAATGATTAAAATCTACCAGGAGTCAAACTGTTTTAAAAAGAACAGCAAAAGTACAATTAAGTACTTTAGGATGTTTTATTAAACTGTGGTAGACAGAAATTTTCTTTAGAATTCTCATCTCCATTTCAGAAAGCCAGGCTCCTGGCAGTTGTAACGGGACCACCTATTTTTCTTAGGCACTTATATTTTTCTGTTGAAGAATGGTAGTAAGAGAAAATGTGAGTACCTGATGAATAGGCAATCCTAAATTGAATAATAATGAAAATCCGGTACCTCACTTTTATCACTATCTATGAAGTCTAGTAGAAAAGAACAAGCTCATATCAGTATCTTCAATGTCCTCATCCCACCCAACCCAAAGTGACTTTTAAAAATGGTGAATATTTACTATTACTCTTCAACAGCAACCACACAGTGATCTTTGGCATATTTCACCTCGTAAACCAAGTAAAGAGCAAGACCAACCTCAAGAACTCTAAGCAGAGAATGGTACCATACTGAATTTAGGGTTCCCCATATGTCTAAACTAAACAAATCATTCAGGCAGGACAGAGAGAATCTATCTTTGTGAAATTTTCTTTAACTGGTCCTGATATTAATGCATTTTCCTGTGATTGATACTGAAGCTATCCCTGTGTAGCAAGAAAGTGCAGACTTTCTGATAATTACTGAGAAAAGGTACAAAGAAGTACCACCTTTGGATAAAAAAGGGATAAACAGATCATGATCTGTGTGATAGCTGGTTTTTAAAAATGATCCAATGATATGGAGACAGGCATTTTCTCATAACTGCATGCTCTTATCCAGGGGACCTTCCCCAGAACAGAAGATGACCCATCAAAGTGAGCAATTTGCCCCACTAGTGCAAATCTCCATATTGCAACGAACTCATCCCACGACCACTGAAAGCCTGAAATGGGGACAGCACATCTGAGGAATTGAATATTTAATTTTACCTTAATCAACAGCCATATGTGGCTGACGGCTGCTATAATGAACATTGATTTAGATCATCTTCCCTTATTAAGCAGTTAATAATCATATACATTATTTTAAAATAAATATTCTGAATTCTTATAAACCCTAAAGCCTATGAAACCAGTCTAAATTCTCAAATATTGTGGGAACACTATCACCTGATTTTGGGTGAAGAAATATGGAAAAGCTTATCTATTTTTCTGAACATGCTCCAAAA